TTGGGCGCGATGTTCGGCTCCGCATTGTCAATAACATTTATTCACAGCACACGTCTTCCAATTCGTAACATTTTTATTCGCGTGTCTGCTTCATAAGTCCTCGAACGAGATCAAAGACAGCTATTTTAGGTACATCTTGAGATCAAAGACCTGCTGATGTGACACCGTCGTTTCGAAATTTTCACAATTTTCGCCAAATCAGTTTTACTGCATGGATTTTGATATGTCGTTTTGTTAGGATTTTATCGCCTTGATTATGAGGCCGTATTGAACCGTTATTATCATAAGTGGTTTGTATGCAGTAACTTTTTTATTGTAATTGTGATCATTTGTGCCTTCAGGTACCGTCGGTGCGTGGTCTGCAGCTCACCATCGCTGGCGTTCTATCGCTGTGGGACACCTATGGTGGACGGGTCCTGCAGTTCATGCTGACTCGGCGCCTCAACCAGGATGCCTGTGAGAATCTCTTCTCAGTCATTCGGTCGAGAAATGGACAAAATGATCTGCCGGATGCCAGTAAGTTTCGAATGGCCCTCCGTAAGACGGTGGCAACGAACATTCTTGCGCCACCGACCGCGAACTGCGAGCCAGATGGCGACACGCTCCTCACCGTTGTGACGTCAGTGTCCCGCAGGGTGAGGTGCAACCTCACGCAAGTGAAAGTGTCCTTAGCGAACTCCGAGCCAGTTGACGTTTCACTTGCACCGATCGATGCTACGATGTCGAACATTTTGACGTACGTCGGCGGCTGGGTGTTGCGACGTGGTGCGGAGAAACATGCCTGTGTTCAGTGCTCTGCTGTGCTCGCAAAACCCGATCCTTTGGTGTGTTTTGAACGGGAGATGATGTGTGGACTGAAAAGCTTTACCGGTGCATCAGAAGTAGACGCCGGAAGCCTGGTAAAGCCCACACAGGGCTTTTACGAGATTGTCTCGTACGCTTACCGCGCTACCCAAGTCCTGTGGCCGGCTCTATTCACAAAGTCGGGAATGCTGTCGGTAATCTTAAACCGTGTCATGACTTCGCAGCCGGCGCTAGATCTATTGGCCTTGCTGTGCGATAAGAATGCATTGGTTTTCATGATCACCCTTTTCATTCGCCTGAACCTGTACAGGCTCTGCAAACAGGGATCCTCTGGGCGAGCGCCTGCGCAGAAACAAAACAGGAAGCTGCTCAAAGTCACATCTCGAGTGTAGTCAGATAGTGGGGTGACGAGCAGGGCTGTGCCATCCTTTTCAATGATCTCATTTTCATTTCACTAGGCTGAACAGTCGCTCTTGCAGTGATGGTTGTGCAAGCTCGATGTCGAAAGTTTTTTTGCATGTGTCTAAATGTGTGTATACTATATAGCGTGACGGCAGGCTGACACGTGTGCGCGCGCGTGTATGCTTGTGTATATGTAGATGCGAGTGTACTGAGGGTGTCGCTGGCGGTTCGACCTCCGCTGTCAGTCCCCACGTGTGTGGTGTGTCATGGGATGATTTCTGACGTCATCGGTCGGGGTGCGGCGTCTTGGGCTGATGTGCGGCGTAATGGGGTGATGCGCGCTGCCGTCGAGAGTCGCCGTGTGCGGGCGAGATGACAGTGATTAGAGATGAAACGGGAGCCAGCCGCTCCCGTTTCCCTGTGCTGCACCGCTCCCGTGTTGCTGGGCCGCACTGCGGCGCCTCGCGGCTCCAGTGGCTGTATTCGGGACTCCGCCAGGCCCCAGCGACGGTCTCGCGAACCATCTGCAACCGAGTGGCACGATCGTGGACCGGTATGGACTCCACACTGGATCGGGCGTCCGCCGTCCTGCGCGTGGGCTGAGCTCGGGCCGTTTGTGTCAGTGTGTGGGTGCGTGAGGCGCGCTCTCCGCGGACGGAGAGACGAATCTCGTGTCCAAATGACTGGGCTGACTGGCGTATCGTAAGTGTATTATCGTCAAAGGATACAATGAACAAACTAATTGATCATGATCAATCACTGAACGTCTTTTCGGGCTTTCTGTGCCCACTGCAGATTTTGAGTGGCGGGTGAGGGGGAGCATGCAAGCCAAGCCCATCCAATTCCTCTTCCAACTCCCGTCCGTATTATACTGGGACTTGGTTTGTAAATGATCAGAAAACAGATATGGGCATCACTTGTGCCATGTTGTAACATTTTTCAACCCAAAACGCCTAAAAATATTCGCGGAACATATCCCCGTCATTACGCTTTACACTGCGGCCCACCGCGCGTCGTGGCTAGGTTTAGTTCATCTGTTGGCCGCTAGGTGGCCGCGCTGGTCGCTGACATCAAAGGGGCCGACGCCGAGACTCGCATCCATATATCTCTCATCCATGGCTCGGCCGCGGCGTGCCGGCGGAGAGTGGGCGGAGCCAGGCGGTTGACGTCACCCAAGTATGACGCACGCAGCACAGATCTATGCTGCAGGGACCCGAACAGCCCTCTTGTGTCTGGCTCTGAGTTGGATTCATATCAAACCAAGAACATATGAGAAGCTAGAGTAACGTTCGTTTTCAATGTTAGAGAAGAGTGGAAGGTATACCATCCTGTGAAGTGAGCGCTTGGTTTTTTACCCATGTCAGTATGAATAAAGTTTTTACTGATCAATGTGAAATGCGTTTTTTTTTTTGTCAATTCGTTGCAGTTGTAAAAGGCATGAAATTGACGCCATAAATGTAGGTGATTAACTAATATATCTGTACATTAGGATTTGAAATATGTTATTGAAAACCAACATTTACAATCTGTTCAATAGTTCAAAGCAACCAAATGCAACAAGTAAGTTCACGTTAGATTTCTATCAGTTAAGCTCTTTTCCAGCGCCTTCCTCCGTCTCAGTAAATGCTTCAAAAGTTCGCTGATAAAATGTTTTGCCCATGGGCCGAAACCTTTGACCAATTGCCTTCAACATTATGCGGTTTAATCCAAAAAGCTTTTACCGCACGCTCGCGCTAATGCTAAAGGCATACTTCGGCATATGCTAATAGCGATTTCAGTGTGTGCATTTATTGTTCATAGTGGTGTGAAATGTGGTTGGGGTACGACCGACAACCCGTCGGGGCGAATTTCGCACTGGGGTACTCAAAATTAGAAGAATTTAAGACGTTTCCATGAGTTTTGAAGGTATGGATAAGTTCTAAAAATCCGGTTCTCCTTATCTGGGCCATTAACTCCATACGGTCCAGGAAAGCTGGCACACTACCTTTAACTGACATTGGCCAGATATTGAGGCACTATATCAGAGTGAAAATTGCGTCCCAATGCAACACTGAACACCGCAGTTACGTTGCACGGGCGTGCATTCCGCTAATTTAGGACTGCTCGCATTTAGTTCCGAAGGCGCTTGTACGATATTACCCAAACATCTAATTTCAAGCTTATAACGTTATCATTGTGCACACTTTTCGTTTGAAACATCCGCTTTAGTTAACTGTACAGGACTATCACAGCCTGACAATGCTACATGTGATGCTAAGCAGACACTTAACACCACAAGCAGTAAGCATGTCCCATTCACGAAGCACACACGGGGCGGGGGACGGTTTTCGAGCGGTACGGAGCGCGTGCAGCGGACACTCAGCAGAGCGCTCCAAGCCACAGCCCACAGCCACACAGGCACACACTGGCAGAGGCAGAGGCAGCAGCGGCGGCGGGAGCCTGGCGGGCGCGGCGGCACGGCACACACGGCAGTTCAGCCGGCGGTCCAAGGCATTCGACCCACAGGCCGACACGGTCAGGGGGGTTTGGAACCCTCCTAACTTCACCAGGGAGGTTTACAGAGCTCCTGACTTTACCACGAAGGTTTACGTGGCGTCTGACTGCCAGGGTTTTTACAGCGCTCATGACATTTACAAGGAGGCTTACAGTGCTGCTGATTACAACAATGAGGTTTACAGCGCTTCTGACTTGGCCAGGGGGCTTTACATCGCCCTTAATGCGATCAAATAGTTTTGTGGCGCCCGGTGAAGACTCGAGGTCTTACAATTTATCATGTGCGATCGGCACACTGGTAATCCTTATTTTTATCAGCTCAGCAAATAGAAGGCAGTCTTGCAGGGGGCAATTTTACAAATAAACGTGTTAGATAAGAAATACAAATTAATTTAGAGCTGGATGCCAATGGTGCGAGGCGTATTAGGCAAGTGTTAAATGTTGGTGAGACGTTAGAGACGTCAGAGAGATTTGTTAGAGACGTTAGAGACAGTGACAAACGCTAGATGTCAAGCGGCAGGCTACGTTACGTGCTGCACTTTCAGAGGCTCAGCCAGAAAGACAGCGCCCGGCAGAGTTAGTAAGGCGGGGTCTCGGGAAGGGCCCGTCCGGCGTCCTGTATGCCGGGAGGACGGTGGCAGCGTCACGGACCAGCACGGGACGCCACGGGTCACACTCAGACACTCAGAGCAGCTAGCAGCCAGCAGCGGCGGCGGTGCGGCGGTGCTGACGCGCTCGGTCCGGCGGCGCCGCGGGTCTGCGCCCGTCTGGCCCCGGTCAGAGGCGCGGCGGGCGCGGGGGGGGGGGGGCGGGGGCGGGCGACAGTAGCCGTCCCTGCGGCCGGCGCCGGCACAACACTGCAACACGGCCGAGACAGCAGCACCGCACGGGGCGCACCGTTACCTGCGCCAGCGCCGACAGGTCATCGAACTGCAGCCCTCGCTACCGGGAGACACAGAAACACCCAGTAGAGAACCCGGCCGCGGACACACACACACTCAGTGAGACGGGAGGACGGCGGGAGCCCGCCCCTCACTGCCGCCCCGCGGCGGGCACGAACGGACAACACTAGCAGCTAGTCAGGGTCCCGCACAGGCGGGCGGCGGGCGGGTCAGAGCACTCTGCGATACAGGGCGGGCGGGTGAGAGCGCTCTGCGATACAGGGCGGGCGGGTGAGAGCGCTCTGCGATACAGGGCGGGCGGGCTGCGGCCGCACTATGTACACGGCTGGCGGGCGGTCTCTACAGGGCGGACCGGCGCGAACGGGCGGTCTCTACAGGGCGGGCCGGGCGGCCACCTACGTCCTGAACGGTGTTGATTGACGGCCGGCGCATGATGTCCAGCTCGACGCCCATCAGCGCGTCCACCTTACGGCAGCGGCCGGCGGGCACGGGTCAGCGGCCGGCGGCGGGCACAGGGCACAGGACGGACGGACGGCGGGCCACTACCCCTACTCAAACTGTGCGCTAGCCTCTACTCAGCCCCGCGGGGACCGGGGAGGGAGGACGTCACCGCACTCGGCAGCTGCCGGCAACTCCGTACCTCAGGACACAGCTGCCACCTAACCGTACTGAAAACGACCCACGGCTACCGGCTCGGACGGGTCAGCACTCGGTCAGCACCACGGCCACACACACGCCCACACACACACACAGACGGACGGACAGCTCTGCGGGGACACTGCGCTCACTGTGTGCCACCACGGCGCCGGCCGGCCCGCGGTAACGGGGCCCCGCCGCTGCGAACAGGCGCGGGCCGTCAGCGGGCCGGGACGGGGACCAGCACCACCACCAGAGTCCCTCCCCCAGCACCGACCTGAACAGGCGCGGGCGGTCAGCGGGCCGAGACGGGGACGGGGACCAGCACCACCACCACCCGGCGGGAGCACCCCGCCCAGCCCTGAGCACCCGACTGTACATACCGGCGCGAGCAGTGCAGCAGTCAGTCAGTGGGGCAGGCAGAGAGACAGTCATGGTACACCCCCGCCCGCCACCAGCCACCACCGGAGGCCACAGCTGAGACCCAGTCAGCACCGCGGCCCGGTCAGCTAGGGTTAACGGTCACCCGGTCAGCCCGGCTACCCCAGGTCAGATCCTCCGCTGTACAATCACCCCGTCCTCTCGGTCAGGGTTGGGGCCGTTCAGCCCTGGTCGCGGAGCAGACTTACCACTGAGTTGCGCTCCTTTCTGCTGAGTCTCATCTCCTGCAGCATCTGGTTCCGCTGCTCCATCATCAGCGTCCTCTCGTAGGTGTAGGCCGAGATGTCGCTGTCATGCTGCAATGGCACACACAGGGTCAGCGGTTAGAAGTCAGAGGTCAGCGGTCAGAGGTCAGCGGTTAGAGGACGGCGCCACACCCGGAGTACCCGGTCAGCGGTGTAGGTCAGGTCTGACGCACACCGCGAGCGGCGGGCTCAGCTCCGCACCGACATGTATCGAAGACAGGACTATCTCTGAACGCTAAATCATCGGTAATTATTCGCACATGGTCCCGAAATTTGGTACTTTTTTCATTGCTTTTTTCATACGGGCAAATATCTACGGATGACACATCGCTAATATATGTTCATCATATGGCATCATTAATAAAACAGCTGTTTGTGTCAAGTCAGCTGATTAGTGCAAACAACCACGGCAAACCGGGGATTGGGTTAACGCAAGTCCGGCGTGTTCGCCGGGGAAAACAATCCATGCCTTACACACGTGTAAGAATTATCGAGCACCGAAAATAATCAAAGTAGTAATACACACATGTGCCAAATAAAGGAAAACAAAACGCGCACGCCGAAACGTTAACGAAAAAATTCAGCGCTGAGCCTGATGGCAATACGGCGTTAGGAGAGGGGTCACCCCAGCTACTGCGTGGGTGCCTGCCGATGCCGCGGGTGCCAGAGCATGCAGTGGCCGACAACAGGGCAGATGTGGGCCTCCAGGACCGGTAACAGACCACGGGAGGCCACGGGGACCATGGTCCTTATCCCCGGCACAGGCGTAGCGACAGCCCACTACGGCCTCGAGCGGGACCCAACTGAGGTTAGAAACCAGCCTTATGGCGGACAGCGGCGTCTAGTACTGGTCGGGGAGGGCAGGCGGCTCGCGAGGGTCAGGGGCCAGGCAAGCGGGCCGCGAGGCTCAGAGCTCAGGCAGGCGGCCCACGCGGTGCCCCTGAGTCGCCCTGGCGGCCGGCGGCGGCCACACAAACACATGCTCCGATCAGTCACACTCAGCACGACAGCGCCGGGGGATAAAACCGGCGCACAGGCAGGCAAAATGTGTACTACACCCGAGTATGGTGATGGGACGCCGGCTAGGCTGGGGGAAGGGACTCCAACAACGGACTGGGGTGAGAAAGCCAGGGAAAGAGAGGGGAGGGTAGCCAGGGAGTAGGGAAAAGGGAAGCTGTCAGGTAGCTTTTGCTCAGCGGGGTAAGCAGACAACACAGAGGAAGTAGTCAGGTAGAGGGCTGGTGGAAGTAGTCAGGAGACGGGCTGGGGAAGCCGTTGGGTAGCTGGGGAAGTTGTTGGGTATCGGGCTGCAGGGGAAGCTGTTGGGTAGTTGGGAGAAGTTGTCAGGTAGCTGGGGAGGCTGCCCGGTAGCGGGGTGCCGTCGGAGCGGTGCGTCCCAGTGTGGCGGGGAGCGGGGCAGCCTCGGAGGACCGGCGCCCGGCCGTGCAGCTGAGAGCTCGTACTTACACCCTGCCGTCCGGGAGAGAGACAGAGACAGAGAGGCGGTGCGGCTGGTCAGAGAAAGCGGGCAGAGCGGGCGGAGTGGCGGCGCGCCTGGGCACTGACGACACAGCCGTCACACATCACAGAAACACACGGTGCAGCTCACAGACACACTAGGCACACAGTGCAGCTCACCGACACGGGCACACGGCACCGACGACACAACCGTCACACCTCGCGGAAACACACGACATAGCTCACAGACACGCGCCACCGCCGACACAGCCGTCACACATCACAGAAACACACGGTACAGCTTACATACACGGGCACACGGCACCGACGACACAACAGTCACGACTCACAGAAACACACGGCACGACTCACATTGTCACACGACACAGTTCTAATATAAACATGACAAAACTCACACGGTACAGCCTAGTCACAAGACACAGCTCACATAATACCACTGTGATAACACACGCTCTGACACACTAGACGAAAGTCGCATCTCAATCCCAAGTCACGTCCAGACATCACATCGCACACATTGAACCAATGGCCCTGTACGTGAATCCCTGTACGTGAGAACCATGACCTGAGAGAGCATGTTTCATAGACACCGTGTGTCTAGCAGCCCCACCTTTCCACGCCGGGCCCTTCAAGGAGGTACCAAACTGGTGCCGCGGGGCCGGCAGCGCGGCGCCTAGCCGTCTTATACATCATAGCAAGATTCTAATTACATGAAGCTCTATGGCGCCGATAGAAGTTCGGATCAGACGCCGAGGTTTTAAAGCGGGTTATTTACGCCCAGATTGGTCCCGGTGAACTACAAAAGGCAGTTGATCGGCTCGTCGGAGCCAGCCGGCGGCTCAGGCACGGTAAGGGAATCAGCAGAGCCCGGCTCAGGCGGCGGAGACGTGGCGGTGGGGGCCGCAGCGCACCGTCATAACACGGGCAGTCCGCCGGGGGCAGCCAGAGGAACACACCGCCTACCTGCCTGGTAACTCCGGCAATATATCAGCGGTATGCACACCACACAGCCAGCCAGGTAGCCCAAAACAGCGTACATCAATCCCACAGGCCCATGACAGACCACATCACGACAGCTGATATCACAACACACAGACAGCTGAGACGACAGAGACGGACGCCATTCAAAGCTCGTGAGACCGACACAATAAGAAGAGGTCGATTAGAGAAGGAAGTTACTGCCAGCAAGTATGTCGTAAAGCTTCACTATATTTCAGCACTGCCCCAAGTGTCTTGATTTCGCTAGGCATAGACGAACACATACACAAAGCTTTCTCATGAAAACATTGCAAAAGTCTGCCGTTTCCAGCCGACAGACCATTCTCGCCCTGGTCAGTAGTCAGTAGTCACTATCCCAGGAGATATCCCTTCCCCGCCTACTATCCTGCCTTCTCCAGACCCCCCCTCCCAGTTCCCAGTCAAACATCCCCCACCCAATCCTCCGTCCATCCCGCCTCACCATTTCGACGACGTCCACCTCTGCCTCTATACGCAGGTGGTAGAGGAACGTCTTGAGGTCCTTCTTGATCTGGATGCTGTTGTCCTCCATCTGTGCCACGGTGAAGATGCGCATCTTGCAGCCCTTCCAGGTGCGCGACTGCTTCAGCAGGAAGGGCAGCAGCATCAGCAGGCCGCCGTCGTGCACGATCCACCAGATGTCGATGTTGCCCACCACCTGACGCAGGAGGGTGCGGTCAGCAAGACAGTCGAGACAGGAAGGGTGGGGAGGAAGGGACAGGAAGGGTGGGGTAACCACGGAACGGTCAGAAAGCTGGGACGAGCACGGTAACAATGTTATGGTCAGGGGAAGGGACGGACAAACGTTACCGTCACCCGAGGCGTGTCTTCTGGTCCCAAGACCACTGGCGCGCCACCGCTTACTAGCGCACAGGAGTGGGGACTGGGGGGGGGGGGGGGTTCAGATCAGCACCGGAATCACAGACAGCCGGCCCGCCCCGGGCGCCCAGGCACCGACCGACACAGCCTTTTATGCACTCACAATTAGGCTCAAAGTTTCCGGTACGTGCCAGCTCTCGATACACAGCAGCGCGAACTGAGTGAAATCCCTGAAACTAGTCGGCCAGAGGGAGTTGGAACTTAAACTTCTACGAAAACAAGGCATGCTGTAAGTTCGGTACTGATCAAACGGGCCGCTCTCGGGCGTGCAACTGCTAAATACCTCGACATTTATCGAGACCACCAGTAAAGGCCCTGGTGACTGTACAGATCTTCAGTCCCACACATGTAGTGTATCTGTATCTCTGTGTGTGCGTGTGTGGCCCCGTCCCTGGCACCTTTTCGTTGTTGGTCGGGAAGAAGTTGATGCCCTTGGGCACGAGCAGCGCCATCTTGTTGGCGCTGGTGTTTCGCACGGACTCGAGGAAGACGCGGTGCGCCTTGGCGTCTGCCTGGTGCCGCCAGCCGTACGGCCAGCCCAGCACCACCGTGTTGGGACGCAGGCCACCCATACCGGCCGTCTGCATACTGGGGACAGACGCACCGCGGGGCAGGTCAGGGGACAGTGTGCGCACAGTCACACCGGTTAACCGACGGATGACGGACAGACACCCACACACACGCACGGACTCGCAGATAGACACAGCCAGACAGCCAGTCAGGCAGGCAGATAGAGACAAAAAGAGGCCCACACACGCGGACACGCAGAATGACCGGAGGACAAAATGACCAAAAAGTCGGCTAGCAGACACATAGACACACCGGCATTTGGTAGTTCACGTACAATGAACACGATACATTCTTATGAAGCTATAATGCATGGAATGGGCTGAAATATTATGCCATGAACGTAAGCAATCATTTAAACACCGCGTTTGCAAAACCTGTTCATTTACACGACAGAGTTACAACATTCGAAATCAAAGAAACCCTACGTTCCTGCCTCGCCCGAGTTCACAAGGCCTGGATATAAGCACAAATACGGACCCGTGTACACCCACGAGGTGCACGGGACCAAGTTGTTGGAATCGGTGCGGCGTACCCCGTCCGGCGTCCTTCCGCGAACGAATCAGCACACGACAGTACTCTCTCAGCGCCGGCCGCATATTGCTGTATAATGTGGCGGAAACAAGCGGTGTCGTATTTCAATAACGGGAGCGGTGTTATCTACGGAAGGAGCAGCCCATCACTCCGGACGGCCTACATCGGCTACGTGCGAGCGCTGTTCGACTACGGCGCCGCCGTAGTTGGCACACATGCAGCGCCGTCCGTCAGGGAGCGACTGGAGGCCGAACAGAACAAGTGTGCTCGCCTCATCACCGGCTGCATCCGCCTGACTCGCACGGACGCCCTGCTCGCCGAAGCCGACCTCCCGCCACTGTCGCTGCGCGCGAAGCAGCTGGCCGGACAGGAGTGCCAGCGCCTCGCCAGACTCCCCGCACTCGATCCTGCCAGGACCCTCCTGGAGAAGGAGGTGCGGCCGCGGCTGGAGTACCGAGCCCACCTGGCATGGCGGAGAGACTGCATACAGGCAGAGGCGGCGCGGAGGCCGCCACCGAAGCCGCCAGACGAGGACGCGGTGCTTACCAAGAAGCCGTGTCTCAGGCGGGTGGGCCGGTGGATCGCCGACGAAGCCGGGCTGAAGCAGCTGCCGACTGAACCACTGGCGCTGTACCAGTGCCGGCCGCCCTGGACAGTGGAGAGGACCCCCGCCCACTTTGTGGTGGACCTGCCCGCGCCCACGCGTCGCACAGACCCCCCCCCCCCGACAAGCGCAGAGAGGCGGCGCTCCGGGCCATAGAGCTCCTGCCGCCCGCAGACGTCACCATCTGGTCGGACGGGTCGGCGAGAGAGGGGACGACATGTGGCGGCGCGGGCGCGCTGATCCAGCTCCACTGCCTCGGCCGTGAGGAACGTATCAGGGCCCCGGCCGGCGCAGTGTGCAGCAGCCTGCGTGCCGAGCTTACCGCCATCAGGGAAGCACTGGCTGTGATAACCTCCCTACCTGAAGAAGACCGGGAGTCCGTCCGCGCAGTCCGCCTTTTAACCGATTCCAAGTCCGGCCTACAGCAGCTCCAGAGGGGACCGGCCGGCCAGGTGACCGCCCTGGCCGCCGACATCTGGGAGTGCCTACATACCCTCAGCGAGCGTGGCACCACCGTCACCTTCCAGTGGGTGCCGGGGCATGCTGGCCTGGACGGAAACGAGCACGCCGACCAGCTGGCCGGTGAAGCGGCCGCTGCGGAGCAGCCGGACGTCCAAATCGACTTCGCCAGCGCCAGAAGCGCGATCGGGCGCCGGGTGGGGACGATGGTCGACGCGAGAACAAGAGCGTCCCACCCCCACCCGGCGCCCACACCGGGCCATAACGATCTGTCCCGCTGGGAGGCGTGTACCCTCTCCCAGCTGCGGACGGGCGCGTCGCCGCTCACGCGGGACGTCGCCCACCGCCTAGGCCTGGCGGTGGACGCGGCTTGCCCTGCGTGCGGCGAGCCGGACAGCGCGGCCCACCTGCTGACCGACTGTCCGGCCTACGAGGCTGCGCGGCGCCGCCGCTGGGGACTCAACCCGAGCCTGGGGGACGTCCTCGGCGGACCGGCACCGGTGGTGATTGAATTCATCCGGGCTGTCGGGCGGACCGACCCTCCGGTCGACCCGCCTGCGCCGCCGCCCCCCTAGGGGGGCGGCGGGTGAGGTGCAAAAGAAGAAGAAGAAGAAGCAGCCCATCACAGCCGGCACTGCCGCGAACCCAGCGAACCGGCGGCGGCGACGAGCTAGCAGGCGAGATTACCAGCGTGTTAGCGGGCGAGCTATGAGCCTTAGACGTCAAGACGGCTACCGAGCTAGCCGCCGAGGTAGATGGCGAAACAGCCGCCCAGTCAGTTACCGAGCAAGACGGTTAGATAGTTAGCTACCGAGCGAACCGCTCAGCCAGCTACCGAGCCGCCGACGTCACTCACAAGTGGTTGATGGCCTCGATGACGCTCTTGCCGACGAGGACGTCGATGAAGGCCTTGGTCTTCTCCCTGTCGAGCTCCTTCCTGATGCTGAGTCGCGCTGCCTGCGCCTCGCCGTACGTTTTGCTGAACTCTCCCTCTAGCACCGTGGTGATCATCGTCAGACCTGCGGACGTCAGCGGTCAGATGTTAGAGTATCAGCCGTCAGAGGTGAGGGGCGTGAGTATAGGTCAGTGGTCAGAACTGTAGCGGTCCCCGATCAGACCCACAGCAGTCAGTGGTCATCGTCAGACCTGCGCCCGTCAGAAGTTACAGGTCATACCATTAGCGGTCACTGGTCAGTGGTCACTCGGCAGAGATCGGAGCATCTGCAGTCACTGAGCAGAGCATTGAGAGGTCGTTCAGAGCTAAGACCTGGTGATCACAGTTTGTTGGTCTGATACATTGCGACTACTCTGGACACACCGCGGCGCCCAGTCCGTCCGGCCTGGTGGGACGGGGAAGCCCGATAAGTGATCAGACGGGCCACACCGGGTGGGGACGGAAGGACTGTGTGCGGTGGACGCACCAGACGGCCGGTCACCGGCGGCCGGCGCGCCATCGATCGGGGCCGAGAGAAAGACAGGGCCTAACCCCTGCCTTCCATAGATCGGTCACCGGAGCACCGGTCACAACACCGGTAAAACAGACACAGCACGGGGGAGGACAGCCAGACACATATCGACTGATCCCGTACAATTCCGGTCCAGAACAGTAAAAACATCTCGCTAAAATGTCAGACAATATCTAGCTCTACCAAAGGCAAACAAAGTAAATGTGATCTCGAAACTGGATCACAAAGCCAAGTTCCTCAGTATTATTCGGCCAACACACGCATTAGACTGTTCCACAATTCATGCCCGTGTTTTTCGCCGCCGGCGGCGGCACTCACCTTTGCCGGCCTTGAGTTGTGAGGCGAATGTGATGAGCTTGGGGTACTTGAGATTCAGCTCCGAGTCGAGTTTGGCGAAGATCAAAAGCTGCGGCCGCCAGTTTTTCGTGTGCGGCGGCCCCTCCTCAAGCCGCAGCAGGGAGAAGCGCGCCGCAGAGAGCGCCAGACCGCGGATACCGTCACCCCCACTCCTTCTCGGCGCTGAAACACGGCACCGCGCGGAATTCAGAGCGAAACACGGCACCGCGCGGAATCAGAGCGAAACACGGCACCGCTCGGAACTCAGAGCGAAATACGGCACCGCTCGGAACTCAGAGCAAAACACGGCACTCAGAGCGATCACACGGGGCACGCAGGTGTGTGGGGCGGGCGGCAGCCACTGTCCGTCCCATTGCAACACAGCTCTGTAAGCGTGTAGCCATAATGGAATATCATTCTCGTAGAGCGCTGGCCTCTGTGTTGTGTAATTTCCCGTTAGATTGGGTGTTGTTTATCCCGGCGGATCCCGACTGCCGCGCCGGCTGCTGGCCACCGAAGCCGATTAATTAGCCCGGCCACGGCCGCGGCGGCACTGTGCTCTTCATCAGATGGCCGGGGGGGGGGGGGGGAGCTCAGATGGACCCGACTGAGGCGCAGGGTCACCGGGTACAGGGCCGCTACAGCACGGGGTCACTAGATACATGACCAGTGACCACTGTTAGACACGCCCCGCAGCCCAGTCGCCGCCGCCGCCCGCCCCGCTGCGCCCGGCGGCTCCGCCCGCGTGGGGTGATCAACCAGCGGCGGGCTCACGGCCGATCGCCGTCAGACTGACTGCAGTGGGCGGACCAGACACAATATCCGGCGGTCGGCGACACCAGCCAGACGGCACCAGTGGTGACATGGATCTCTGTAGATACTGAGCTGACACACACCCAGTACCAGCATAATAATAGCACCCGGCGCCGTACCGGACGAGCAGATGGCACAGTTCAAGCCGGTACAATCCGCTCGGATCAGCCGCCTGGCAACCGGACAGAGGCGGCTGCCGGATAAGGTCACCCATTCAGTCTGGGAGCCGCTGACGGCGACCTCCCCCGCTCGGCAGGACGGCGCGGCGGTGCGGGAGCTGCCTGCTGGCGCTGCCGGCTCACCCCAGAGTCCCGGGTGACAGGACAGACACCACCGGTGCTCCAATCAGCCGGGAAGCACTCCGATCCACCAAAGTTGGGCCGCGGCCGGCGCAACTTGGGACGGCTGCAGTCACCGGTGTCCGCAGGCCTCGCGGCCGGCTCTGGGTCAGCTCGACCGGCTCTCTTTACCACGCCTCGGGTAATTCCGGGTCATCCGCCGCCGGTCCATCTCTGAACACTCGATTGATAGTAATTGACTAGGGCCGATACTGGAATACTCTAGATGGCAGTCTCGTGTCTCCTGACCAGTGGAGACCAGTGAAACCTGAACTCTGTGCCCTCGCCCCCCAGCCGTTCTTCGAGTAGCGCGGACTCCCCAGCTGCCCCGGACAGTCCTCAGTAGCGCGTCTGCGGTCAGCCCAGACATACGGCGCTGCCGGCGGGTGCGACAGGGACAGACGGGAGCAGACAGCCCCGGCCCCACCCTGCCCGCCGACAGGACCAGACGGGAGCAGACAGCCCCGCCCTGCCCGCCGGGACCGGGGAGGGTCGCCGGCGCCACTCACCCGCGGAACTCGATGTACTTGTAGATGAGCAGGGCGATCACCATCGCCACCAGCGCGTAGTACCAGCTGGTCATGAACATGACGGTGATGCACAGAGACAGGCCAGGAACGAGAGCACCCTGCGGGACGGTCAGAGGTTCGACATAGGTAGTAACATACAAACTGACATGCAGACAAACAGGGGTCCGACCTGGCCAGCACCATCGAGATACACACGACAATCACAGTGCTAATGATGCTACCATATGAATGAATGTATGCATTAGCCAGCGGCCATCGATCGTGATCCCGCCCAGAAATATCCCCGGAATTCGACAGTAACTACATGGAAATGACTATCGGTCCGACGCACATCTGTAGGTGATTACTGATGCTGGCCTGAATATCGACCTCAGCATAACGCAGACTGGTGACTTTTTGCCGATAATGTTATATGTTACGGCGCTATTGACGGCTACTCTCGACACAGCAGTGCCTTTTCTGCCTTCAACGACTCGGGCTTCCGTCCCAGTCTCGCAGTGACTCGATACAAACGAGGAGAGCGGGCCGAGTCGTCTCTGATGAATAGGGAACTCGGCCCAATCATCCGGAATAGACCGTCAGCCGCCGCCGCTCTCATCCCTAACGATTCCGTGGATCGACAAGGTCCTTTTATTTGGCGGCTGAAACTGCTGAAACTGTCCTCTTTTTGTGCGGCTCTCTCGGCCCCCCTCTCTCTCTCTCTCCGCGGCTCTGCAGGACACGTCCGTCGGCAGTGGGGCGCCATCAATATCGTATGGCCGTCCGCCCGTGCCGGGATGGGTTCCGTCCCCGGGGGGCCCGTAAAACATTCAGCGCCGGCCGCTCCGAAACGCAGCGCCGCCCCAGCTATCTGCTCGAAGACAGTGTGACCTAGCAGACTTCCCTGGGGGACAGGAACAGACCCCGAGACACCACCGGCCCCGGTGACCCACACACTCCCTGTGGAAAGCAACAGATCCCTAAGACAGCCGACCGGCCCTCACAAACCAGCTTTGGGGACAAAAGATGCTCTTTAAATAGCCAGCCTTAACAAATTTCAGAAAATGTCCACCTAGCTCCCCAGTCTTCAGTCAATCACAGTAGCATTGAAAACTTCCAGAGTGTACGTCTGATCGATCAATAGGACCCTGCAGAGCGCAGCAGTTTTACCGATATGACAGATTCAATGACACCGGTTTATCGCCAGCAAGTATGGGCTCACAATCGAGACCAGTACTGGGTTTCACCGCCGACGGAGGCCAGTATTCAGCCTTACAGCGCCGGCCCACTGAGCCACGTGCAATCCTCACAGCCACCCTCCCATTTCGTCACCTACCAGTGGTAGTATTGAAGCGCGGCCGCCAGTTGGGCGTGCGCAGCAGCGTCTGCAGCGCGCAGGCCAGGTTCACGAAGCGTAGACATGAGGAAGAACATGGTGATGATGGGCGTGATCTCGTCCAGGTTGCCGATCAGGATGCCCACCTCGGAGATGACTGCCGGGGCAGAGGGGACAGAGTCAGCGGGGCGGGAGGACTCCGGCATAATCTGACACGGAGGCACGGACAGTCGGGTGGTGAGCGAGACGGTACAGTCCTGGCGAACACATAACACAGATTGGGTAACACGATCTACGGAGCATTCCGGATTCGCAAGCAGCCTGATCGTGAGTTGGTTCAACTTCGCAGAGTTGCCATACAGCTAGCTCTACAGAGCTGATCCTCTGCACATATTGAGTTGTGGGGTCGGCACTGGAACAGAGTTCATACAGATGATGATTTAGTGAGTTACAGCTCACCGCCAGCAGGGCTGAGCTGAGCCAGCCTAGTTACCAGTCCCGGACAGAGCCGGGGCCCCGATCCTCCCGGCGAGATGATGGACCCTCAGAGCCCCTCCCGGTGTCACTGGCGGACCCAGAACCCCTCCCGGTGCCCTGATGGGCCCTCAGAGCCCTCCCGGTGTTACTGGCGGACCCCAGAACCCCTCCCGGTGCCCCTGATGGCCCCTCAGAGCCGCCCAGACCGGGACCGATGGACGGTAAAACCGCCCGGCGGCCGACAGACACGATCACGGGGGCGCCTTACAAATGCCCGGCCATTCGAACTGCCCGGCCATTGAATTATACTGATGGATGGCCGATCCCAGCCCGGCTCGATGCTGCTTTAAGTTTACGACCGACGACTTTTCAGAGTAATTTTAAACTCGTCGGCGAACAGCGGAAAGCCATTCCACAACCAGAGCCGGTCCAAAGCGGCTCAGCCGTTCCCACACAGGGCTTTTTATCGACTGCCATTAGTTACTCCGGTATTCCTCCCATAATCCCCCGACCATACACATCTACTCCATCCACTCTGGCACACGGCAAACAACGCTAATCGCATCAGCGGCAAGTGGCCGGTCGGAGCGCCCGCTGCCGCCGCCGCCGCCGCCGCCGCCGCTCCGGCCCCGTATACAGTGCCGGGCAGACGCCGCGGAAGTGACCGCGCAGAGGTCGATTAGCCGAGCATCATTAGTGGCAAATTAGTCGCCTGATCACCCCAGCATCGGGGCGGCGCCAATTATCCGAGCACTGCCGCGGCGGCGGCGGCAATCACGCCCGGAACGGGGAGAGGGCACTGCCGCGGCGGCGGGAGGGACGGCAGAGGCACGGGATGTGCTGGGGAGACACGGGCTGGACTGGGGAGACACGGGCTGGACTGGAGGGTTTGAGACACACGGGATGTGTTGGGGAGACAGGGGAAATGGTACATATATTCATGGGATGAAACACAGAAACATGGGAGGCTCAAAATACCATAAGTAATGTAGAGACCAAGGATGCACACTTACAGACACGGCATGTATGCAAGGAGACACAAACCGACACTCGAACGGTACACTACTCCAGTGCAGTACTGGAATTATTTGAAGACAGAAAATAACATGGGGGAAGCACACACGATCCAGTACTGACGGGCGCATTATCGAACACAGCCTAATGCCCATTCCCACACAGTGAGTAGGGTACCCGGCGCCGCTCCCTGGTGCCGGTTCCAGCAGCGGCCGCGGCTGGCCGGCGGTTCCCGATATCCCAGTGACCGGACTGTGGCCGGCCCCGAGTACACAGACCCGGCCTCTGCTGAACGGCCGGCGGCCCTACTGGGTACACAGCCGGCCGGCCGGACGGCCAAACAATGGACACACTGCGGCGGCGTGGCTCCACAGTGCGTCAATGAGTGGCCGCACAGTGCACATACACGGCGACCGGCCACCGGCCCAATCACAATCGGTGGCGACGGCGACGACTCTAGAATAAACAGGCGAGAATCGACCTCCAGAACCAAGGAATAACGAAATAACTAGGGCGTTCCTTGCCATAACGGGGCTATGAGGAAACGCCCAGACAGCGAATAATAGAACGCAGTACTCAAAGGGAGTAGCAGAGTACGACAAACCCAGTGAGGCGCCCCAGCAACAGCTAGTTCTCCCAGCGAGTACCAGCCCTCGCACAGTATGAGTACACTGTTCACAATGAGAGGCGGATCGTTGCCTACTACTAATGGAAGAGTATGGTTTCTCTGGTTAACTATCAGTGGGACGTTAGTTGGATAGTGCCTCATGTCCAGATAAGAAAAAGAAGAGCCTATCGGCGCAGTACTCACAGACGGTGACGAGCAGGGCGCGCACGGGCTCGCCGCGTTTGGAGCTCTTGCCGAGCGGGTCGAGGATGGGCAGGATGTTGTCCTGGGCGATGGCCTGCAGGAGCCGCGGCGCGCCCGTCAGCGACTGCAGGCCGGCGCCGACCGTGGAGAGCAGCGAGCCGATGGTGACTACCATCGGGTGCGGCCAGGCCACCTGGGACACCACCATCTGCTTGCCGACGCTCTCACCGAACCTGGCGGCAGGAGGGGGTACAGAGGGTCAGATCACAGGGTCAGGGCAGCGCGGCAGACAACACACAGGGGCAGTCCGTCAGTCCAGCCAATCACTCAGATTACCGCACCTCACCGCAATAGCTCACCGTAACAGCTCACTGTGACAGCCAGGTGACAGCACACTCTTTTAAACTGTCAGCACGACGTAACAACCCAGTGACAGCCCAATAAAATAACTATAAATAATCATCAACTTAGATAATATAACAGCGCGGAGTTAACAGTATAGCAACACCGCGTCAGACCAGATATCTCGAGGACGTCGACTGGTCAATCAAAGAATTGACTAGTTTTTTCAGGGTGTCCCTTGACCTGATATCATACGCGCTATTCTACAGTTGTTGGCAAAGGTCCGAATGCCGTCCTGTCGCCGCGGCGCGGTTCGGTTCCGGTGTGAAGGGTCCCCGCCGGTTCCCCGGGTGTCCCCGCCGCGCGTCCCCCGGGTGTCCCCGCCGCGCGTCCCCCGGATGTCCCCGCCGCGCGTCCCCCCGGGTGTCCCGCCGCGCGTCCCCCGGGTGTCCCCGCCGCGCGTCCCCCCGGTTGTCCCCGCCGCGCGTCCCCGGGTGTCCCCGCCGGTCCGCCGGGTGTCCCCGGCGCGCGTCCCCCGGGTGTCTCAGGCCCGCGTCCCCCCGGGTGTCCCCGCCGCGCGCCCCGGGTGTCCCCGCCGCGCGTCCGCCGGGTGTCCCCGCCGCGCGTCCGCCGGGTGTCCCCGCCGCGCGTCCCCCGGGTGTCCCCGCCGCGCGTCCCCCGGGTGTCCCCGCCGCGCGTCCGCCGGGTGTCCCCGCCGGTCCCCCGGGTGTCCCAACCGGTCCCCCGGGTGTCCCCGCGCGCGTCCCGGGTGTCCCCGCCGCGCGTCCGCGGGTGTCCCCGCCGCGCGTCCGCCGGGTGTCCCCGCCGCGCGTCCCCGGGTGTCCCCGCCGCGCGTCCGGGTGTCCCCGCCGCGCGTCCGCCGGGTGTCCCCGCCGCGCGTCCCCCGGGTGTCCCCGCCGCGCGTCCCCCGGGTGTCCCCGGCGCGCGTCCCCCGGGTGTCGCCGCCGCGCGCCCCCCGGGTGTCCCCGCCGCGCGTCCCCCGGGTGTCCCCGCCGCGCGTCCCCAGGGTGTCCCCGCCGCGCGTCCCCCGGGTGTCCCCGCCGCGCGTCCCCCGGGTGTCCCCGCCGGTCCCCGCGCGTCCCGTCCCCCCGGGTGTCCCCGCCGCGCGTCCGCCGGGCGCGTCTCACTTGTCGAGCAGCAGCAGCGGCGAGAGGGTCGCCGCGAAGAACATGACGCCGCTCAGGTACACGGTGCTCGTCACCAGCACGGCGCAGATGGTGCCGATCGGAATCGACTTCTGCGCGTCGGCCAGGTCGCCCGACCGGTTCGAGCCCGCCATGATACCTGCCCGGCACAGAGACACACGGGTCAGCACGGTACCAACAGCGACACAAGTCAAGCGGCACAACTGCAGTCACAACTGGAACACATGAATGCTATGGCCCAAAACAGTGATGTGTTTCATCTCTCCAGCATTCTAGGGTCCACACGGTCACACATGGTACCCCAGTGTCAAATACAAACAAAGAGGCAAACAAAGAAAGAGAGTTACAACCGAGACGCATGATCCTAAAGGATTTAAGGCTAAAGGGTTAAAAGGATCCTAAAGGAATCCTAAAGGTAAGACAGGCCAAGGAAGTGTGCTCACGAAATTAAGGTTAGTAGTCGGTCACAGAAAAGTGGGGCGCTCAGAAATAAACGGGTGGCTCAGATCTAGAAGCTTGGGCCACCTCAGCCCCTGAACAGTATGTCGGTCGCTCTCTCCTGGCAACGTAGAAAAAGCTCAGCCTCCGGCCCGACCGACCGACCAACAGCCCCTCGTCTGTCAATTGCTCTGCCCTGGAACAACGGACCAGCTCCGCCCTCGAATAGTGGGCCAGCTCTGCCCCTGACCAGTCTACCGGTCAGCTCAGCCCCTACTCGTTATGTTGCTCTGCCTTCGAACAGTGGCCCGCTCAGCTCTGAACAGTCTGCGGGTTAGCTCAGCCCCACAGCAGTCTGTCGGTCGCTCTGCCCTGGAACAGTGGGTCCGCTCAGCCTCGCTAAGCCCCGACCGAAGCGGCGGCCCTAATCAATGCCGTTTAGGACGCTGGCCGCGCGGGGTGGCTCCGCTCCGTAAATCTCTGGCAGCGGACGCCACCAGCCCACGATCAAAGTAATATCGGCCGTGGCGGCGGCGGGGGCGGCGGCGGGGGCGGCGGCGGGGGCGGCCGGCTGCCGATGACGGCACTATCGCCGGCGGTCGCACATTCAGCCGTCGAAGGACGGCCAACGGAGGGAGTTCGGGGGACGCGGGGCTTGGTCGGCACCATGGACGGCGGTAGGGATCGGAAGAGGGACAGAGAGACTGCTGGCATCCGTCCAACGACTCTGTGAGGTTCCCTGCTAAATCGCTGGTCACAGAGCAGCAGTTCACACAAACTGTTCAGATACCTACTTATGTTTGAAGTTCACATACTTATGTTTGAAATGTTTCTCTTCAGATACTATGAAGCAATTGCTATGGAACTTCGATACTACAATCAAGAAAACAGGGTTCAACTGGCACTGAAACTGTATCATGTTGTTAGAAGTTGACGCGAACTAACTAGCAGTAGCGACTGTGTAATATGCAACAAAAGAAAGCTTTATCTCAAACTTATAGAAGTTAGCCAATCTAAAGAGCCGAACACTGAACATTTTTCGATAATGGAATTGCCGAGTTGATGACCTCATTTCCAGTTGAATGGTACAGTGAACTTCGAGAGGTCGTAAATAAGAACTATGGCTGGAGAGAAGAACAATTTCTATCAAAGTCGATTAACGAAAAGTCAACCGTCTCAGCTCAGATAACAGCGTTTAGCTGAAGCTTTCAATAGCAGGATCTGAAAGAAGACAGACACAGACTGAATACCGGCCCCGAGGGAGCTGTCAACCGCATTCCGCGGCCGTGGCGGCTGAAACCTATCACCGCTGGAGTGCTGCTGGACCGGACCGCCGTCACCAGCCCGCTCCAGTCTGACCTGACCTGCCGCGGCGGCCCGGCCATCTCATATGTCAGCGGCCGCCTGTAAGCGCCGCGTGACCCGACTGCCGACGCCGGCGGCCCGGCGGAGCGTCCTGGCGGCCCGCCTGTTGACGGTGCCGGTATATCCGGCCGGCCGGCAATCGCCGCGCGCCCGTGTCCCGGCCGGTCGGCAGCAATATTGGCCGCCGGGCCCGGTGGAATCATACCGAGCGGCGAGATGATCGATCGCCGGCGCACATGGCACGCGGACGGCGGCACCCCGGCGACCGGCGCCGCTGGCCGGCCGCCAGCCGCCGCGCCGGCCGCCCGCGCGCCATGTATATTTCAAACAGCTGCTGGCTTATATGGAGGATGAACGAGGCTATAGCACCACATCGCCCCGGCGACCGGAGAGATTGCCTTCATCGGGCTGGCGGCCGGCCAGCCGCGAGGGACGCGGCGCGGGCGTGTGGGCCAGGGCCAGCCTTCCCGGCGTGGCAGGGTAAAGGGCGTGAACCGGAGCCAGGACCAGCCTTTCCGGCGGTGTGAGGGCGTGAACCAGCCTTTCCGGCGGTGTGTGAACCAGCGGATCTGGCGATGACGAGCTGCACAGTGCACAGGACATACGGGACGCTGCAGACGACATACAACACCAAATTCGACGCACTACAGCGTGCAAACTTCGACTGAGGCTATATTTGAGCCCAGCTGGGAATGTTTTCAGTCCCGAAAGCTGGTACGGTCAGGAATCTAAGTCAACACCACTGGAAGGTTCGTTCCATAAAACAGACACTCGTTACACGTATTTCGTGCAAGGCACTACCACTGAAATATTTAATTTCGCGAGTGTTCCTGCACCAGCACCGGGCGACCAGCACCGAGCTGTGTAATAACTAATAATGTACCGTCTACGTGCGACGCCAAGCCAATAAGGCAGACAACTCAGCCGTCCACACGGTCAAGGGTGCTGTTCACTCAGTCCTCCACACACGGAAAGAGAGATGTTGCGAGTCGCGGAGGACGGAGAGGCTGAGAACAGGGGCTGTAGCCGGTGTCCTGTGCCTCAGCGGCCGGGCTGGGGCTGACCTGTATCTCAGCCGCCGGAGCTGCCCTGCCCTGCTCCTCTGAGGTCGCAGTCGGAGCTGACCTGTCCTGTACCCTGACCTATCCTGTGCCTCAGCGGCCGGGCAGTACCTGCCCAGTACCTCAGCGGCGCTGACCACCCTGTCTGTCGACCGGTCGGCGGCGGCGGCTTACCACCGTCCGCTGAACCGATTTCCTCCGTCAGAGGCGCGCGCCGGGCCAGCGCTGAGCTATCCCCGGCCATATGGCCGGCTCAAGGGCCCAGCGCTCCAATTCATGGCCGCCGCCTCACTGATTCATGGGTTCATGATTCACGGCCGGGCCGCGCCGGGACGGACAAAAGGAGCGTCCCCCGGCCCAGCCGGCGCGATAACCGACAATAAAACAGCCCCGGCCGGCGCCCAGCGCTCGCCGAGCGGCGGCAAACGTCGGCCAAACGCGCCGAGCCACGCCGGCACCGGCCGCGCCCGGCACATTGGCACAGTGGGACATGAGCTTAGTGGTAATACGTCACATCCAGCACGTGCTCTGAACAATACCTTGTCCTCAGTAGCGGCAGCAATGAAGGGTGCATCGTGCTTGGCACTTCTGTTGATTAGTAGTGCAACCGATTTTGTTAATAAGGCTTCTGATTCGTCAATGAATACCCAGAATGAATACGAGTAGGTATTTCCGTCGCTCAACTGATTTAATAGGGGAATAAGTGCCCACAAGATCTATCGGACTAGATAAAACCACCTTTCGTTATAAAACATTGAAACACTGCTTTAATCAAAGGGCTTAGCATGCACGTGTTGGGAATACATCAAAGTCAACAACTGCTGGAAATAGCAAATGAGCCTTGCTACGCCACAAATGGAATTTCATCAGCCGAACAGAAAAATCCATTCCTTTCAGCCACAATGGCAGTCTGCAGGAGCGGTCGCTGCCCCACAGACAGTGCGGAGGAAATGGCACTGCAGACCGGCCGGGCCTGCGACGGCTCTGCCCCGGTCGCTGTGCGCGGACTGGCCGCTACCTGTCGGTCACTTGTTGATCACCCAATCAATGCACGCTGGCCGGCCGGCCGGCTGACCTTTCCCAGCGGAATGTGTAATGTGTATGGACACGCCGCACCGTCCGGCCGGACCCGGTGGCACTCTGCCCGGGCCACTGTGTTCACCCACTCCCTGGGCCGGGCCGAGTCGAATCTGGTTACGTAACGCCGACGGTAATTTTCCATGACGGGCGCCGTCCAGAATCCGCGACGGCCCGACGGAATTTCCACCACCCACCAACCACCACCACCACACCCTACATACCAGCGGGGTCAGAGACGTGAGGACGGCTAACATCGCAGCTCCTGGCCATCCGTCCGTACCAGTGCAGTTGGCCACCAGACGTGAAGCCCATCCACCAGACGTGCGCTTCGTCCACCACACGTGAGCACCGTCCAGCACCCGCCGACCCTGACCACCTGTCTACACCAGCGGACGTCAGCGCCGTCCATGAGTCTGTAGAACAAGCAGGCACCACCAGACACGCGTCTCTGACGTGAGTCTGTAGAACATCTGGGCCACCCGACAAGCGTTTCGTCTGTGGATTTGTAGAACAGGAAGGTCACCAGACGTGAGCGCCGTCCGTGGGTCTGTGACTATGTTCCGCGACTGTAGATCCCAGATGTGTTCGACAGCCCTGGGAACGCCCCACGTGAACCACGACCTTCCTCCTGTCAACTGATGTCACCCACCGGAATCGCACTCAGTACTCGACACACAGCCACTGACGCCGGCCGAATCCCAGCCGCCACCGCCGTCCCCTCACGGCGCTAAATATACCCACTACAGGCGTGTGCCGAGGAGGCCCCACATGTTACATAGAGCGACAATTAGGGCAATTATAGAGCCACGCTCGACCGCCACCGCCAACACTGGCGTCAGACTGAATGGCCACGCCGGCAAATCGGCCGTGAGCGGGCCGCTTCCATTCATGGACGCGCTGACGATGACCGGCCGGTACTGTCGGCTGAGGAGCCGCCCGCGCCGGCCGGGCTGCCGCTCCGCAACGACGGAACGGGAGGAAGATATTCAGACTCTGCTGGACTATCCGATCAACGCAAAAAAAAAAACTAGAGCAGACCACTTCAGCTGACTGGACCAGCTGGAAACCGACCCGAGAGCAGCTGCTCCCTCCGGCCGACCCGGCACCGCCATTGTACCGGCGACAGCGGCGCACAAAGCCGCCTTTGTGCCGCCTTTGTCGTCCCGGCCAGAAAGGCATCCTCAGCGCGGCGCGGCACCGGCCACGCCCCGTCGCCGGCACGCGCTCGCTCGCCTCTCATCTCCGCAGCGCTGTCACCTGCGCCAATAGGAGCTGTTCGGTTGAGCGGTTCCAGGGCGGCGCTGACTGAGGACGGGTATATCAGGACAGCGGCACTCCGCCGGTCCAGCGGCGCTGGCGTCCGCTGCTGGTCCGTCCCAGCCGCCTCACAGCCGAGGGCGGGTCCGACGGCTGGCGATAGGATGGGCGCGCCGGCCGGGAGAGGCAGAGTCGAGTCCGCCGCCGCAGCCTCCCCGGCGACTCTCCGTGGGGGCGGCGGCAGAGCTCGGCCCGGCTGTTGAGCACAGCTCAGCTCGGCCCGGAGGACCGGCTCAGTCCGGAACTAACCGGATCGCTCCGGCCCGTGTCACTGGGCCGGGCCGGGCCAGCCGGGGCGGGACCCGTGCCACTGTATTCAGTCGCCGGACTGTGTGGCGGCCCACATTTCGGCAGGTCGATACAGACTGCAAATTGTTGCAAATGAGAGTTTCGCAACCGTCAGCTGGCGCCGAGCGACGCCGGTTATCGGCCGGAATGCCGTGCAGTTAAAGAACGGCCACTCGATTAATTGCGCGGTAAACAGCACTGCTCCCGCATACTGTATGAGTTATATGCATACCTTTCTAGCGTGATATTGCAGCACAACGACCTTCTGCACTTCAAAATAACAACAGGCAATGAATTGAAGAATCCTTATCATGTTCAGTTCGTTTCGCCTCGCACCCACGTAAAGTTGTCCAAGACTCCCATGCAGCCATCTTTTATAGACAACACCTTCAGCACCCCAGCTCGTAAGCCGACATCAAGGCGTAGATGGCTGCGTACTTCCGCATTCACAAACACCATGCAACACACCACTGAGTCAGACCTAGTGTGTGTGAAGACACTCGAGTCGGAGTGTAAACTAGTCGGAGGGTAAACTAGCAGGTGTGGGGAGGACACTCAGATCAATGGGACTCATTATAGAAACATGCCGCCTCTGTACATAGTGTACCACTGGCAGCAGTGCGACCCACCTGTGACGGAGGGGAAGAAGATGCCGATCAGCACGTGTAACGAGGTGGTGATGTCGGCCATGATCTGGTTGTACTCGCCCTTGCCCAGGTTCTTGGCCGCCACCGAGCTGCCGTTCTCCGTGATGTAGTTGTCTTTGCGCGGGTAGCGCGAGTACAGGTTCCCTATGAACGGAGAGGGCTACACTCAGGGGGAGATACTGGTACAGAGCGGTGTGGGGCGATTTGGTGACGTTTAGGACGGTGCAGTATGTTTGTATACCGCACCGAACCACCGCCCTGCAGTCAGTTACAGCGGCTCAATAGATCGACTTCATTTCCGCGAGCCGGTACCGACCAGCCCCTAGGAAGACGGCCATTAATCCCCACCAAAACGGTCCGCGTCTGACGGGCCGCCGTCTGACCGCCGTACCCGGGTGGTAACCGCTCGGTATCACAGCAGCAGACTATGACGGCACAGCGGCGGCCGTCCCGCGGCGGCGCCCATTACCATACGACGCTCATGGCCCTATCAAGGCCGCGCCGCCGCCCCTAAACTCCGGCAGACTCCGAGGAACGTCATAACATGACAAATTAAAAACGATAAAACCGACGGAAATAATAAACAGTTACACGCCATGGCCCGCTATTCCATCAAAAAATATGTGGAACGAGAAATTCTGTCGCCCGTACACTGGTGCGTGATTTAGGCCTGTCGGCTCGGGAACGTTATTAAAAGCGAGCACTGCAACTCATGGGGGAAATGGGTCGCGGCAGCTGCCTCCATTATGCATTTTATCCATATTTTCATTTCAAAATTTACGAAGAAATTCCAACAATCTCCATAACCCAGAAGGTTTTAAAGGAGCGAATCATTCAGCGGTTCGGCGAAAGATACCGCCAGCAGAAAGTAAATGACCCAGTCTACTAGGGTTCCCATTACCTAGCTACCAGTCTGTTCTTAGTTCACTCCCCCAGACATGGCTACTGGAACCAAGATGAGATACGAGATGAACCATATCAATCTGATCTGATATCAATATAGCTAGAAATGCGGATAATTAGCCACACTGCCTCTGACGGTTGCCACCTCGTCCTCGTTCGGATAAGCGAGACCAGATCCAGCACCCTACAGCTAGTTCTAGCTAGGTTCTAGGGAGGAGCTAGTTCCATTGTGTTTGCTACATCCAGTTCCATTGGGACCACACGTTCTGATGATGGCGGTGGTGGACGCCGTTTCTTTGGCCGTCCAACGCGTGCCTTTTTGGCAGCCACGTTGACTGCGGTGTCACACTCCGTACAGTGTTTGGCTGGGTTTCGAGCACCCTACAGTGTTTCGTGTGTTTCGAGCAGTGTTTTTGTACAGTGTTTATAGCACGCTACATGTCATCCGCCTCCCGTCACATCCATCCCTAGCTTTCACGCACTGACGTCGCATTAAGTCCAGTCACCACGCCGCGCCTCTGTCTCCGCCCCTGCCCCCATCCTCTCCACAGCGGGTCACTCACGCTGGAAGACGCCGCTGGCGATGCCCCCCCCCCCCCATCCCTCATCTCCCCCCGCTCCACTCACGCTGGAAGACGCCGCTGGCGATGCCGCCCCCCCTATCCCCCATCTCCCCCGCTCCACTCACGCTGGAAGACGCCGCTGGCGATGCCGCCCCCCCCCTATCCCCCATCTCCCCCCGCTCCACTCACGCTGGAGGTCGCCGCTGGCGATGCCCCCCCCATCCCTCATCTCCCCCCGCTCCACTCACGCTGGAAGACGCCGCTGGCGATGCCGCCCCCTATCCCTCATCTCCCCCGCTCCACTCACGCTGGAAGACGCCGCTGGCGATGCCCCCCCCTATCCCTCATCTCCCCCCGCTCCACTCACGCTGGAAGACCCCGCTGGCGATGCTGCCCCCCCCCCTCCTCATCTCCCCCCCGCTCCACTCACGCTGGAAGACGCCGCTGGCGATGCCGGCCACGCCGCGCTCGTAGTGCGTGTCGTTGTAGTGGGCCGCGAAGTAGTAGTAACAGGTGGTGAGGTTCTTCTGGTCGTAGGGCGTCTGGCAGTACTCGTCCCACAGAAACTCGGGCGAGCACGCCGCCGCCGACTTGTTGTTCTCGTTCTCCCGGAGTAACCGCTCGCCTAGTCGACACGTCCTGTGGGTTAGAACGGTGATGGGAACGCTCAGTGGAGAGGTCAGAGACGGTCCCCGGCGGCGACAGTCGGCTTCAACAGTCGATACAGGGTGGGGCAGCATAATCGGGAATAAATATCAAACGGGATTATTTGGTCATGAATTTAAAAATATAGCTCCAAGCACTATTTTAACAACATCCCATCAATCGGTCACCTTTTACCTATCCCTCATCCTATTTGACCGCCCTTCGCGTCGATGACCTTCTCAAGGCGGGTCCAAAAGCACGCGCATGCACGTGCAACCTCCTGCTTGTCCATGATCGCCCATCAGCTTCGTACCTTGCACTGAAGACCGTTTTTACTGATGATAAGTTGTTCATTAAACTTCTACCAAAAAACGCTCCATATAAAGAATTTGGTCGGATTTAAATCGGCGGAGTTGAAGGACCAGAAGTTTTTGGTTCATCTCAGGTGGAGGTGCCCTACACAATAACATGTCGTCCTCACTGCAGTACCAGCACGGACAGAGTCCTCGTAAGACGTGATCTGGACCGTCAGTGATCCTCTCTTCCGACGACTCCACGTGAGTCTGCCAGAGTGTGGATGTATTTACCAGAGGTGCTCGTTTTATCCGGGCTCGATGAAGTAGGGTGCACCACGTGCACCTCCCTTGAAGACCACCCATAGGTCCATCACCTCAACAGGATGTTTACTTTGCATGACCGCTGCAATATTCTCGATACAATCCCCTATATGGCATGCCATTCTTTTTTATCGTATTCCAGTCGGTGATAAGATTTTTGGTCGCTGAAGTTTTGAACATTGTTTCTTTTTAATATGCTTAAGAGCTTCTTCCTTATATACAAGTGAGTCATATTGTATGTCCTCTGCTAAGAGTTATTTTACGACGATTACGTTAACTTTTTGTCCTAAGTATCCCCACACAATCCTTATCGTCCGTGATAACACGTTGACCTGTCCAGCAACCTTTACGTGGAATGGCATTGTTTTAAACAAAATGTTCTTGTTTTACTCGTTTAACATTAGTGTCTATGGGCGCGCGCAAAGCACTTGGAGCACCGTCGAACTATTTTGCTGCTCTTTTCCAGGAAGTTGCATGCTCATGGATGTAGTCATGTCAGATGATGCACAACTTTTGGGCGTTTCATTGCCATGATATAATTTATCAAAATAATGCCATGCCTACTCATGACCAGAGCCCAAAAAGCATTCCCGATTATGCTGCCCCACCCTGTACAAAATACCACGGCCGGAAACAGTGAGCTAGAGACATCAGGGAGGTGACGGGGGGCCGGACCGGCCAGGTAATTAGAGCTCGATCGGTCCTAGCAAGTGCCGACACCGTACGCAGCGAGATGGGCCGGCCACTCCTATACCGACAGTGGCCGGGGTGTGTGATCACGTGACGGGCCCACTCCTACCGACAGTGGCCGGGGTGTGTGATCACGTGACGGGCCCACTCCTACCGACAGTGGCCGGGGTGTGTGATCACGTGACGGCCATCGGGTACCGGGAGCTGCTTGGGCCAGCCCCGCCCGTGATAAGTATCGCCCACCGTCCCCGGCCGGGATGGGCATTGAGTACCGCTGTATGTCCCCGGAGAGGGGTGGGTATCCCTCTAGGTCCCCGGCTCCTGTCCATCGACCGCAGCGACAGTGAGCCGCCGGACCCATCAACAATGGAGAGCGCACCGTCGACTGGCCCAGATTATTCAACGCGTTAGGCCGAATACGACCCGACTAACGACAACTGGATCATGGGCAACCGCTGGCGCTGCGGCAAGTTCAAATCGGCCCAGCATCGATACTGAGCACAGCTAAACGAGATATGGATCGCCAAGCCTATAAATGGCGAAGGCATGTCATCTAAAATCGAAATGCAATTAATTTGGGTGAGCATATACTGGCAGCAACATAGTAAACCGATGGCTGTTAGAAATGATTTACTAAGTTAGACAATCAAGAGCGATCTGGGACGGGCCCCGCCCGATCATGCATTGCATCCCTGCTGTTCACTGTTTACAGCCAAGTTGAGCCCCTCCCGTTCACCGCTGAGTTGGACCCTTCCTGTTCGCAGCCAAGTTGGACCCCTTCCGTTCACAACCGTTAACAATATTACTATTACCTGCCGTAAAAGCTGGCTGACCAGATCGCGCAAAGTACGTGGCTATAATAAATGACTGCTTCCAATATGTTAGGTACTTCTGCTTAGTGCCCATCAGCATCCATCGCCCGACACAGCATAAAATTTAATAAAGAAATCAAGTTATGCTGCTTTACAATCCACCACAAAAATCGAACACTGCGAAAAATGCTTCGGTGTAAATTAATTACATTTCATAATAAAGGAATGCACTGTCATTGGCCGCTTATGTCACCCTTCCCCTTCCCTGCCACAGCAGTACACGGCAGTCCGGACCCCCAGCACCGTCACTCACATGAGCGCGTCCGAGCCGCCGGCGTTGACGAAGATGCCCACGTAGACGGAGGCGATGCTGCCCAGCACGCAGACCAGCGCCAGCGTGGCGAAGATGTTGACGAACTTGACGCCGAAGAACACGATGGTGGCCATGCAGAAGAGCAGGACGGTACCGTAGAGCCGGAAGTTGTCGAACTTGCTCGACTCGTTTGAGATGTCACTGATGGCGATCCGCGGCTCTATGTACAGCTGAAACGGAGAGGGAACGTCAGAGGGACATGGAACAAACCGTGGGGGCGGGGCGGGGACGGGCCGTGGGGGTCGGACCATGGGGATAGACCAGGGGACGGCGTGGGATATTGGACCGTGAGGACCAGCCGTGGAGCCGTGTTAAGCGCACTGCCATTTCGATTGTGGAGGGTTTGAGAACAATATGTCTGATTACTTAGGCAGTTCTCGCGAGCGGCGCTGAATTAGACGAAATAGCCCATTGGCAGCACCCATTTGAGCGACATTGCTCTGACGACTGGGCGAATGACTTTGAATGACGCCACTTCTGTCAAATGCGCTCCGCCTAACAGCACATACTCCGTCTCCAAAGAACCAAATGTAAATATATAACCATGGCCAAGTGTTACTATCAAACAGGCCGAAAAATATTTACCAGCACGAACAACATTTCGTGGGACACATTACCACATAAGAAAATAATGTGAAGTGGCACTGTCTGGAACTCTTCTTCGTCTGAAAAGGGCATCATCCGCAGAGCGATGCTCCCGAAATTCAAAACTAAAGATAAGAGAAGTTGTCGGAATTATGAAGCATGTGAGTTATCTCGCGCTCTTTTACGCCTCATTAACCTGTCCCAGTTCCAAGGGTTTTCAATGGCTACCATCCCTCGTCAGGGCCGTTAGTTTTTAATTGGCTGCTGTAGACCTGTCCGCGCCACCCGTCCAAAAATAATATAATTAAAAGTTGCTAACTAAGCGAACCACCTGCCAGTCGGCAGAGTTACTCACCGAATTAGCTCCCGGGGACGGCGGTTTGTGGTGTAACGCTACTACAGACAGACCGTGCAACCTCAGTCTGGTCGGCGGACCGTCGGGCCGGGGCGGCAGACAGACGCTAATTATACGGAGAGGGGCGGAAAGGGTCTGGGAGGGGACATTTGGCAGGGCGCTGTGTCCAGAGAGAGGGACGGAGGGAGCCAGGGAGGGACCGTCTGACCAGGCGCCGTGTCCCAAGGGACGGGAAGAGGGGCCTAGATGCCCAGCACTATTGGCAAGCGACATTGTGTAATGAAGTGATAAAGTGAAAATATAAAAAAGGAAATACAGCAGCACTGTTTGATCCGCCAATGTTGCGTTGCATTACATAACCTGTCTTTGATAGCCTGCTACAAATAGAGCGCACTGAAAACACTCGGCCCGGCGTCGGCCCGGTGTGACAGAGCATAGATGACAGCCGGCCGCAGCTCCCCGGCCATCGCCGAACACAGCCTTCAGCCGGCCGCAGCTCTCCCGGCCATCGCCAAAAACACAGCCCGCAGCCGCTCTCCCCGACCATCGCCAAAAACAGCCGGCGGCCGGCCGCCGCGGCAGAGCGCCACGCAACTGTTTTCACACAGGAAACGGAGCGGGATGTCCAATGTAGTTCAGTCGGGTCCGACAGCTACTGAGGTGACAGGGTGACACCAGGCCGGGCGGCGGGTGTTCCGTCGTGTGCTGCTCACAGTAGCCCGTACACCTCCCATGCATTAGTGGCGCGGCGCTCGGTGTAACAGCCGTCAGACGGAGACGCTCCGAGCTAGGGCGTGTTCTGGGAAGACCTCACACGCGCAGCAGCCCATCGATTTCGGCGCCGAGGTTTCACCGCCGGCCGCAGACGGAGACAAATTACAGGGTGAGACACCAGCTGAGGCCACCTGCACAAGAGAAGTAACGGGACGGACGGCGGCTACTGGGATCACACCGGGGACCATAGACAGCCAACAGTAGACCGGGGACCAGAGATATCAGACTGGAAAACATAGACAGCTCCCAGCAGACCAGGTGAAACAGGCATCAGACCCGAAATCACAAACAGAGCTCAGACGACCGGGGACCGCAGGTAGCCCTCAGTGGATCAGATGTTACATATAGCTCCCAGTAGACCGGGACCACACACATCAGACCGACATGCTATGACTTATCCCCTACAGCAGGACCGCCCGTCCGTCCGGCAGGCGTTGGTCCACTCACCAGCAGGATCTCGATGGCGCCGATGATGTACATGGCCGAGGCGAACGTCGTGCCCAGGTAGAAGAGGATGCCGACAGCGCCGCCGAACTCGGGTCCCAGCGCGCGCGAGATCATAAAGTACGAGCCGCCACCGGGCACCACGCCGTTCGTGGCGATCGCAGACATTGAGATCGACGTGAGCATCGTCTGAAACAGACAGGGACGGGGTGGTTGGTCTGTGTCGGAACGGGCGGAACAACAGCGGGGTCAACAGGGCAGATGAACAGGCCGGCTGGCCAGTAACCGAGCACTGCACACCGGCTGACCTTACAAATGTCGACAGGTTAGGGAAACACAGAACAGTCGGAGCGGGGTCCGGTCGGTGGCTCCGATACAGCTGATTTACGTTGGCATACACTGTTTGTGTTTGCACGTCAATCTGCACCTGGACTAGTGGACTGTGCAGTGTGCATGTCCGGATGGATAACAGCAACCCTTATACCCACCCCGAAAGGCCGTGGCTCCAACAGTGGCGGTCAGGAAGACAAAATCAATGACACAGCACAACACATCAGACTACATGATCAGTGATCACTGATCTTAACTGACACAAAACAACCACCGACGCTATGCCAACATCTACTGCGACAAGTACCTTGCTACTTAGACGACAAACCGTTGGAATACTACGATCAGTGAGACAGTTTAGCCAGAAACCGCATGTCCATTCGGCCAATAAGGCAAAATAACCAACGAGTCAATAAACGACACTAAGACAGCACGGCACTGTAGACAATGGTTCATTCAGACCATACACACTTGAGACAGCGCAGCCTTTGGGACAGCGCGGCCGGCGCGCCGTGGTCGGCTTAATGGCCGAACGGCCGCCGGTGGCCATGATTACTTTGGCTCGGGCAAACACCGGCTCCCGGTGGCCACCGCGCCGGCACCGAGGCCGTCCAAACACAGAGCGTGCGGCGCCGAGCTGCGTCCAAACACAGAGCGTACGGCACCATGGCCCGTCCAAAGACAGTGCATCCGGCACCGCTGTGACCGGCGGAAGGCTTAGCGCAGCGACACCACTCCAAAGTCTACACAGAAGGACGGACAAACACAGCGCGGACGGGCTAAGACACCACTCCACACAGGACGGACAAACAGCGCGCCGGGCGCGGACGGGCTGAGACACCACTCCACACAGAAGGACGGACAAACAGCGCGCCGGGCGCGGACGGGCTGAGACACCACTCCACACAGAAGCACGGACAAACAGCGCGCCGGGCGCGGACGGGCTGAGACACCACTCCACACAGAAGGACGGACAAACAGCGCGCCGGGCGCGGACGGGCTGAGACACCACTCCACACAGAAGGACGGACAAACAGCGCGCCGGGCGCGGACGGGCTGAGACAGCACTCCACACAGATTCCGGACAAAGGACACCAGACCACTCCAGCCACGACATCAACGACAGAACATCACTTACATTCTGTCCTCGACGGGAGGACAAATAATCAAAGAATCAAATGATGTCATGAATAGCTAAATGATGCTTGACGGAGCGTTTCCCTATCTGGGGTACCACTAATGGATACGAATCGATCTGTACACATGGTCCATTAAAACGTTATATGTGCTTTCGGTGGCGCGTTATAACCGTAGGTTGAACAACCTTATTATGACCGGATGGTAGTCTTGGAATATCCGCTTGATTTACGCGCATACCGATCTTATGTAGGATATCCAGCAGCACTCCGTGATATCCATAACATCAGGATATGCCAGATATCCCTCGGTGAACCGCGCGCCCTCCGAACGGTGAGCTGGGCTCAGCCCGCGCCTTCCTCACTGAGCCCGTGTGCCCGGTTCTCGCTGTTTTGGTGCGCCGGGCACTGCTCACGGGGGTTGAGCTGTCCACTCTCGATCTATCGTCATACATCACACCACACCACACAGAACGAGTGGCGAGTGACACCCCCCACCACAGGGAACGGCTGCAACAATGCAAACGCTCTACGGCGCTGCAAGGCTCGGCCACGGTGCAGCATGACTTAATGTCTAACACAGTCTGTGCGGCACATCCAGGTCCGCGACCTTTCATTTCCCGATTGGAATGGGTGCAGATAAGAGGACCGCTGAGACGGCAGCGGACCAGCATTGGCTCAGGTTAGATTCACGCTGTCCAAACTTCAGCTCGCCGAGCTCAGAGCAGACTTTGCACGATTGGAATTGTGCTGCGAGTTTACTGTTGGGACTTAGGTCGGATTTATTGCGATACACAATCACAGGTAACAAATGCCACCGAATTCACATAGCCTTGGCAACAGGAAACCCATTCTACACCAGCAGCAAGTATCCATACCATTCCTTTTTTAAAATGGAGAGTGCATAACCGTGTTTGCGAAGTTTTATACATTTAACAGCACAGCCATCACAGGATTGTTATTTCATAATAAACAGCGGACAGCTTCATCAGCTGCAGAGCGGACTGAGTGGCATCAAACGTCCTAACACTTTCCAAGGACTGTTTCATTACTTTTTTCTCGCTCGTTTCCGTAAAAGACCCGACACCGGCTCTCAGACCTTATCACAAAGCGGGGTCCATTGAGCTGGTAAAAAATGGGACCGGCACACCTAAACTGGAGCAGCAAGAAGAGAAACGGCCTCTGCACAAATCTGGCCGCCGGGCGGAGTTAAATGCTGTGGAACGCCTCCATTAGCCGACTAACGAGTTCACCTCGCCGGTCGGCGGAACATTTCGGCTGCAGCCAGCCGGCGGCGACACTGAAAAACAGCCCGCTGGCTAGATGACGATAAATGACCGGGAGACGAGTCAGCTACCGTCGCGGCGGCGCTTCATCACCATCAGACCGGCGGCGCGGGACGGGGGGGGGGGGGGCGCCGCGTCAGTGGGAGACGGACCGGGGGGGGGGGGGGCGCCATGTCACTGGGGTCTGACCCACCACGTCAGTGGGAAACAGATCCGGCATACCGATTCACAGGATGTTGACGTTATCAACATGTCCCTGTCGAGGTAGCAGACTCCGCCATATGGTGTGGGAAAAAGACACCACGCATTGGCGCGGGGAATGTCAGAGTCAGTAGCAGTCCATCTGAGCCGTTCAGACACCGACTTGCTGAAGCGCTAACCACCGCGCCGATTACCAGCGGCCCTAATGAGCGGGGTGGCAGCTACTGAGCGCACGCTGCCGTCACCCACCACCGGAAGGTGGACGGCGGACTCTCCCCCGGTCCACTCCTGCGCGCCGCGACAAAAACGGCCTCCATCAGCAGTCCGGACGGCCGGTCCAGCGCCGAACAGGTAACAGCACGCGCCACTAATGTACTTAGCCGAGTGGGCGGCCCTGTTGCCGGGGCGCTAACGGCATTCCGCCGACGATGAGCGGCTATTAACGCCAACGCTAAACAACATCACTCATAAACGGACGCCCAGTAAATAAAAAATGCGTTGAAACTCCACTTAGCACACATGCAATAATAAGGGTATGTAAATTTCATAAGACGTTCTTTACAGATCATTCAAGCCAACCGAAGTGAAATGTGAACTTCATGATGTGATATTGAGAAGAATATCAAGAAAGGAAAATGGAGGACAACTGTTCTATTTAATTCGGCATCTTGTAGTAACTTGAATAAAATAACAAACACAGAAACAAACACGTACCTAAAACGAACTGACAAAAGAAAAACATATGGAGGACACAGAAACAGTCTCGTGTAGCCGTATACTTACCAGCGACAGCGGAGAGCATCAGCCACAGAACACACGCCACAACATACTGAAAGCTCGACACAGTGAATTTTATCTGCAGAAGCTCGCAAAGCGGCGCGGGTGAACTCACCACGCAGCAGCACATGAGGACCACCATGAAGGCCTCGAGGGCGCCGGCCGTGCCCACGATCCAGGTCAGGCGGATGAACAGGATGACACCGAAGATGTTCTGGATGCAGGGCAGGAACACGCCCAGCATCGTCCCTGCAACGAAAAAAAAAACAGCCGCAGTGACGCGTCAGCACGGTCTATTGTGGGAGACGAGAGTCTAAATCGGTAACGGCGCGAACTACAGTTGGCAACGGGTCAGTCGTCAGATAGGAATGTCATAATCCTGCGCTGGTAGCAGTACGAGCCTCAGTAACGGGACGGTCCTCAGTTATTAACGGCACGAGCACAGTCTCGAATGTTAAACGAGCAGGCAGGAGCAGGTTGTACGAGCGTTGTTACTAAGGGCCTGACTACGTTTCTGACTAATTCGCCTGATAATATAAAAAGACGCATCGATCTCGAAAATCGTGCTAGCATCTGTGACAACAATATCCTTTTGCTACTAGAACTTGAAGATCCATGTGGTCCCAAGACGCATAAGGACGGTAAATAAGTAAATTTAACGAATGCCTTCGGCTCACTTTCCAGTGTTTTTGTACTGACGCCTCCAGCTAAAAAGTGAGACACAAATCTTGGCAGAGAATATACAACAGCGCCTTTGCTCTGGAAAAGCATTTCTTCATGCTAATGAAGAACAATTCTGTATGTCTGAGAAAGCCAGCTTTTCAGTGAGACGTAGGGGATTTAGCAGCATCGCAATTAAAACAGCTCGGGACATCCTGGGCGGCGGGGACAAAGGACGCCGCCACGCTGCTGGAGGTCACCGCCGCCAGTTTTAGCTGCGGGTCGGGGGGGGGGGGGGGGCAGGCCACGCGGTTGGGAGCTAGACCGCCGTTAGAGGACGATCACGTCCGGGCGTCGGCCGTGCGTGTTGATCCGGTCCGGACGCCGCCGCCGCCGCCCGGTCCCTATTGGCGCCCATCGGTACCGCGCAGCGCCCGCTGAGCGGCACTGGGCAGGCTACAGTGAGGCCGGTACATAGAGCAACGGCATGGTGGCGCAGAGCGGCACACGGGCTAGCCTGTCTCAGTATACAGAACCAATTGGTCGAGTAAAGATGAAACCACGCTGACTTACAAATAACAGCATGACTAACATGAGTGACTGATGGGTATTTGTGTTATGAGGTTATCGGCCACCGATAACCTCATAACACAAATATGTCCTTAAATAATCAGCAACTGATGGGTATATATCCCGACATAATTAGACAAATCAATGCTTTTTTGTGTGTGTTAGGTTATTTCCAATTAAAAGCTGCAAATTGTTTAACATTTGAATGGTAAATGGATCTCGCATGCGTATTAAATGTATTCCAATCAAATCTCGAAAACTAATCCAAGTCGTCTTCGGAATTCGGTGTAAAAACATCCATTACTAGATAACGATTGATGATAGTCTGTATTAACTACCAAAACGGGAGATAGCTCTCTGTTGGACGGCAGTCAGCCTACCAAAGTTCACTGCTCCAAACAACAATGTCTCTGGAAGCCTGAAAGTGAATACTGTGACAAATAGCGAGCTCAACTTTGATGAAACCCTCGCAACGTAGCCTACAAGCGCGCCGCAGCAGCTTCATTCCGCCCTCGACAGATGGCGCTGGTAAACGGCGCCTGAATGGATACTGTGCCGCCTGGCCCGCGCGGCCGCCTGAACGGATACTGCGCCGCGTGGCCCGCGCGGCCGCCTGAACGGATACTGCGCCGCCGGGCCCGGGCGTAACTGCGCCCAGGCGCATCGGCGACCGACTCCGCTGCAGTGCGAACATGGGGTAATTGTTTGAGGAATCGGGCGGGGAACGGGATGAATGCACCTCCATACCAAAAGGCTCAACTGCCTGCCGTGCTGGACTGTGACGCTGAGTCCTGCCAGTCTTTCCACGCACAGACAGAAACAGCTCTGGCCCTGCGGGTCCTCACGGCGTCCGGAGGAGTGGCGGTGCCAGGACAGCCACACCACTTCACTGTCACGGACAGTCGTGTCTCCCTCTCTTGCAAATGCCGTGTCGCGACTTTCCGTGACTTAGACATCAGTTGATAGCCCACTGGAGACTGCCCTAACAGCGCTCTTGGATAAACGCGACCAGCTAAACACAGCAGCCACGATAGAAATGCCCAGGGACAGACCTGGTGGTTTGCATCCGGGCAGAATTGTCAGTCGCACTAAAAATAAACAAGCGCGTTGAAGAAAAACATCAAAGGGGCGGATATTCTTACATCTTGCAACGACCATCAGCTGGTTCAAATGTAGGGCAAGCGTTCCGGTCGTAGATTACACAAAAATAAAGTTAAAGAAAATGGCTTGAAGGATATGAAAATCAGAAGATATTGAATGGTTGTAGGAAGCCCAATTATGATTTTATGCATTAAAACTATAGCCGTGCCTATCACAAATCGGGCGCTAAATCAGCGGCAACAGTGCCCCAGCCGGGCTGGCGGCGTGGTGTGGGCTCCCAGGGGCGCGGCAGGGCTCAGGTGGCGGCGGATACTCGGCGCCGACAAATCGCTCCCCGCGGACCGGACCGGCGCCGGTGGCACAGGACAGCGCTGTCCGACCAGGCTGCAGCGGTGCTCGCTAAACTGCCCCCCCCCCTCCCTACCAACACCGCCTCGGAACTGGTGCCAGTCCGGTGACCCATTTCACGGATATCTCCTTGGCGGCGGTCACGGGTGTCTTCGTTAGTAGCGGTCAGCGGGAGGCACGTCTTCTATAATGACGGTCACGGGCGTCTCCTTCAGTGGCGGCCAGGGACGGCTCCTTTAGCGGAGGTCACGGGTGTCTCCTTCAGCGGTGACCACGGGTATCTCATTTAGCGGTGGCCAGGGATGTCTCCTTTAACGGAGCTCACGGGTGTCTCATTCAGCGGTGGCCACGGGTGTCTGCTTTAGCGGCGGTCACGGACGTCTTCTTTGGCGGCGCGGCGGTCGGCGGCCGGTTCATCCATCAGTCGGCGCTGCCGCCCGACCCGACCACCCCGGCCACCTGCCTCCCCGCACCACCGGCTGTCACAGACGGCAGAGCCGACCTGCCTCCCCGCACCACCGGCTGTCACAGACGGCAGAGCCGTGAAACGAGACTGGCCGCGCCGGCCGGCCGTCACTGCCACACAGCCGCATTGACCGCCCTGTCAGCCGCCATACCCGTGTGACAGCTGGAATCGACTGCAGCCGACAGGCGGAAACAGCCCCACCGTCCAGCTTCGGACACTCAGAGTGTTTTTACTTAATGTTACCTCCACTTAATAGTTTCCAATCAATTTAATTGTGTCAAGAGGATCACGCTGGCCACCGCAAAACATGATACTCAACGAGTGTTCCAGCGCGTGTCTACTTTCTCATTTCTCGCATCCCAAGGTTCTCAATCTTTAGAGAACTACTGCGACGCAATAACACTTTCCAAGAAAACAATGAAGAAAACATTTCTACGTCTGGAGCACAATTCATTCACCGACGGTCTGATTATTTTCCTTGTGGTCCATATGATACTAATGCAAACGGAATCATAGAGCGAGCGTTGCTGTTTTTGAGAAATGTCATACCTAAAATAAAACAAAGCATAAATTTTAAGAAACAGGTAAGAAAATGAGTATCAACGGCACAGGCGGGCAAATGATAGATGGCTATACTAGAAATATCAAAATTGCAGCGTACCTAACTAGTGCCTATCTAAGCAGGATCCACCTCCACTCCATTCATAAGAGACACTGCGTACCCTGCTCGTTGGTGAGCGGACAGCTCGTGTCGGGATCTGATTCCCCCTCCCAATTAGTGTTTCCGGCGCCTGCGATGGCAGAGCTCGGTCATAGCGCCGGCGGTGTGGCGGTTCGCTCGGTTCTGCCTCAGTAGTGCTGACATCATAGCTAGGTTATCATAATTACTGTGGATCTGTCAAAGAAGCCGTGCTCCTTTTGCTTTCTTACAGTAGCGACGTTTGCCGACCGTTTCTGCACCTCAGTGCTTTACCCTACTCACCCAGAGTAACAGTGATGAGGTCGCCATTCAATGCGACTCGACTGGCTCCGCGAGAGCCAGATGAGTCCACGCTCGCCGCTGCGGAGTTTTGCGCTCCCCTCACTGTCTGCACCAAGCACCTCCAAATGCAGTTCGAAATTGAACCATTAAACTTTATGGAGTCGTCATCGTTACCCAAGGGCGCTCCTCCCATGACTCCGAATTAGGTCATCAATCTAAACAAAGAGTTTATACCGACTCCAAACGATATTGTATGGCTTTCCTAGTGAGCACGCTGGGTAAGATAAGGCCATTCAATGAAAACGAATCATGTAAACGACAAGATGACCTTGGCGAAAATAAAAAAGAACGAATACATAAGGGATCGAAGCACCGTCATCAAAAGTAATATCACTAATCAAGAAAGGCGCATCTTCTTTAAGAGAAATACAAATCGACGTCTGAGACGTATCTGAAAATACAATATAAGAAATCTAGCTCGACAAATGTAAGTTCGGTGCCTAGAGTACGTCAAAATAACACAAACTCGTATGTCCCAATGACATTACAGTTTGAGCGCACATTTAGCGCATACAAATTTACATTAAATCCCAAGGAGACCAAAGCCCATCAATAAAGCCTACCTTGCACATGGCATGCCTTCATATGGCTGCCCATTCAGCAATTATAAATTTATGTATGTACCATGCAAGTTATTTGGGAGGCAATTTATAACGACATATTGCCAAGTCATGTCAAAGACGGACCATCATTTCCAGACTACCTGCACAATCAATGCAGATGCTTTAGTCGTGTAGTGGACTGAGTTTAAGACTGATTGATTGGCAATTTTCGGTACTGCAGCGGCCATAGATATTGATGCCTATCCAACGGCAAAGCATTGATTACACGTATGCTTGTAGATCAATGCTTCACAACTTGCGCTATGAGCGCATGGGGAAGAGTTTTGTAAGTAGTTGTAAGCTACGATATTTCACAGAACATATGACGCTTACACGAATGTCAACCCTTCCACTTTAGGTGGGGTCGTTTACTTGACTTCTCAACTTCTGAACGGTGGCCTCTCGATGCGACAACTGGTTCTACAAGTATTGGTTGTTACTCTAACTACTCTAGCAGCTATGCGGTCAGCGGCAGACCATTTGACACGCCCCCTCCCCCTCCCGGCCCGAGGGGACGGCCGCCGACACCCCCTTCCACTCACCGAGCTTGTTCTGCGGCCGCACCGGCTTCTGGTCGTGGTCCGTGGCCGACGGGATGATGGCGTTGTAGTTGGCCAGCGTGTGCACCATGTTGACCACGCGTGGCCGTTCCTCCAGCTCCTCCTGTAGGTCATACGGGGTCAGCGGGTCAGTCAGGGGGTCAGAGGTCAGGGTCATGTTGACCACCCGCGGTCGCTTCTCCAGCTCCTCCTGCACGTCAATAGGGGTCAGCAGGTCAGCGACGGAGGTCAGAAGGTCAGTAATGGGAGGTCAGCGGGTCAGTGAGGGTCAGTAGGGGTCAGTAGGGGTCAGCGGGTCAGCGAGGCCAGTTGGGGTCAGAGGGGTCAGAGCGTCAGATTAGCAGAGGTCGGAATATACACCTCGGCGTCAGATCAGTTGCATTTTATGGTAAAATACATTCCAACACCCAATATGCTCTTTCACCAAAGGAACAGTAACGGTCAAATCGCTCGGATCGGCTACAGTGACCGACAAGTACGTAGTCAATGAGCTTAAAATGGTTAAGTCCCAACGAGGTACCCTAAAGACGGAGATGGCCTGGGAAGTACGCACTTGCCTTAGAGGAGAGTGGAGTGCAGACTATCATTATGCTAAAGGCTCAGCAGTGGCTCCATCTATCAGTCTGGAGAGAAGATCCGACATTTGACGCGGTTGAAAGGACGCCTCACTGTGCGGTCCAAGCTGACCTCATGTAATATTTCCCACAGAATAACACTGCGGCGGCACCCGAACAGCCCATCACCAGGTGATACCACCGTCTTATCTTGCCACTAAACCGCGAAACTAGCTGACAGAGGGTGCGAAATACCCAACGAGTCCTGTCAAAAGATCGTCCCTAACCTCTGCTAATATGAGGTAGTTCATTACTGTTGTTATAGCGTAGGTATTCCACCCTGTTACAGCGTCATGCGCGCCCCACCGCGCCGCAGAACTGCAAGGGAGGTGTAACAGCCATGGTCGCGACCCATGGTGGGCATTTGGAGCTGCGTAAAAATAATCGCACTGCCTGTAATATACAGTTGCCACTTAGTCACCTGTGCTGATATGCCACTCTTAGATCCAGAGATAGTGGAGTTCGCGTTGCATCAGAACTTACGGGTTACTTTATCCCGTATGCGATTATTCAAACGAATGTTGAAGTACGCTGAAATTATGCTTTAATTTCGAGGTTAAAATAAATTAAAAGGAACATGTCACAACCTCAGAAACGCTGGCATGGGTCTTTGGCTTTTACCACACGAGCAAAATTGTGAACAACTGACGAACACGTCAAGCGAACTGGCCTCTGCGCCGTGCGTGCCGCGCGCCCCCGCGGTGATGAAGACGGGACATCAGTCGGGACATCCGGACTCGCCAACATTGTGATAAGCAATGATGATACGGCCATCCACTGCGCACAAACCACCCTGCAGCTGCGAGTTACGGACAAACTGATCCGTTCAGTCCGGTCCGTTGGTAAGTAGCGTCATAGAGATCGCAGGTAGCGCCTGCCCGCCAGTTGTCCTGTCCAATAAGCCCCGCGTCACGCAACAATCAACCGAGCGTGGTCACCCCTCCGGCTTCTGACGACGGCTTTTGCACACGACTCGGCTGCACCACCGAGGAGGCACCCCCCTCCCCCCCCCGACGGAACACAATCTGCCCCCGCAGGCGGGTCCCACGACTAAGGTGAAGGTGGTGCGCCGCCGAGTCAGCCGTGGTCAACCAGCCCGTGCCCTCTCCCAGGCCAGAGCGCGTAATACATATAGCCGCCTCCGACCGAGTGTGACCGCCAGGGTAGGTGTGTTTCCGCCTTCCGGTTCTGTGCGTTCGATCAACCGGGTCGGTGGGCGATCATCGGGGGCGGATGGGCGCCCTGCCTCCCGGCCGGACCGGACTGGAGGACACTCCTCCGTGACGAGGACACTCCTCTGTGACGAGGACGCCGCTCGGTGACGAGGACGCCGCTCGGTGACGAGGACGCCGCTCGGTGACAGCTGACGGCGGAGGAAGGCCGAGAGCGGCGGCGGCGGCGGCGGCGCGATTATTGATCGCACCGCTCAGACACGGAGGCGACACGAGTTCGGCCGGCCGCCAATCACACACGCCGCGTAACCACTGACAGACACTGCTGACAGGCACGGCGGCGGCGCCGTCGGCACTCAGGCTCAATCCTACACCACACACACTGACAGACACACACGGCAGCGGCGCCTCCCGGCACTTATTCACTCAACGCCAGCCACACACCATGAGTGAACGGTTCCGTCAATGGCAACGACATGCTCAGTAACATCCCGGTGGAAACCGGCGCCCGTGGACGATCGTCAGGGGGCGGACCTACACGACCTCCCGGTACACGACCTCCCGGTAACAACCGGCCCCGCGCATGGGATGTGACCCCCCTGCAGAAACCAGCGACTAAGGAACCGACTTCCCAGTGGAAACCGGCCCCTGTGGGACGTGACCTCCCAGTGGAAACCGCCGCCCCCGGTCCCGTATTGATCGTCCAGCACGCGACAAAAGGCCTCTCCCGGCGGCGAGCTACAAATCCTCCAGGGCTCAGCCGAAACCGGGCCGGCGTCCGACAAAAGCCGCCTCTGGCCACGGCCAGCAAAAACCCACCGAGACGCGCCACCCACTCTATACTACACGGGAAATGGGATGAAATGTTATAAAGCCCCATCTCATCAGTCATGAAAATGTCACACGTTTTTGGAAACATCTAAGAGAGCCTCAAAATGGCATAGGCGGCGGAACGGGGAGGGCACCGGGGCACCGTACCCCCCTTTGATTTTGGCATTTTAACATTAGCCCTATGGGCGTTGCATGGAAAGAATGGGACCAAAAGTCGGCAGTGCCCCCTCCCCCTTAATTGAAGGTGTTACGCCGCTACTGCAAAATGGCTCATGTAAGAGCTTAATATCAAAACCGAATTAAATCCACAACATCAAAAGAGATCTAACATGTTATAATAAGCAAAGTCAAAACCTTTTCTAAAGTAAACGACCAATCATTTCATCATTTCAAAGGGGCTTCAAACAGGCAGAGTCTCTTTTAAAGTACGTTGCTTGCAAACTTAGCTGCTAGCCAACCTGGCAAATGCTGTAAAAAAGCTGTGTCGAAAATGAATAGCCAAAACATCGAATGTATTAAAGTGAGAGAAAAGAAAAAGTTAATGGCTTTAAGTGTTAGTTTCTTTAGATTCCTTTAATTGAGAGTTTTATCGTATCTGGATATCGGCTGCGGCCGCCCGGCCGCCCGGCAGCCCGTTCCCTCCCCAGTCCGCGCCAATGATCTGGCTTTGTTCGAGACGGCCGCCGCCGGCTCCGACTGATGAATAGCCTGTAAATAAGGGCTGCCGACCTGCGCCTGCCGACGCGGCACGGTTGACCGGCGCGGTGACAGCGTTCCGACAGAATACCGATCAGCCTCGGAAACAGGCCGGCGGCTCAGAGCGGCCGGACGCCGCCCCCGGCCGCGCCGACACCGCCAACACACGGCCGGATCAGGGACAATCAAAGGTCACACCGCCGTGCCCAGCGCCGTGAGTCGGCCGAACCGGCCGGGAGTATTGACGGCACGGCCGGCCGGCCGGCACCCCGTGCCCCGGATGCAGTGCGGGCGGCGCCCGCCGTCACTGACCGCTGCTCCCTGATGGGACAGATTAGAGTGCAATTCAGCCGGCCGGCGGCCGCACAGGCAATCGGCCAAAGCCGGGCCGCTATTCCCGGCCAATTCGCTGTGATTTGACCGGGCACAGTGGGTCTCAGGCCGGGCAGACCCGGCTCTGAGCGATTGGCGCCGGCGGGCCGTGACTAGACCGAGGCAGTGCGAAACCGAAACCATCGCATATCCAGTGACCAGAGTGCATTGTGGTGGCAGTAACTATACCAAACTCCACTTTCAAGGGACTAGCTCCTAAAATTAATCTGCTTATGCTCCCGGTATGTGTTCAGCGCTGCTCAGCTGTAGCTCGTCCCCATCCAGAGGACCTCGGTCGGTCAGAGGTCCCGTCCACCGGGCAGCAGCATCGCGCGGCGGTCAAACCGGAGACCGCGGCACTGGTCGCTAGTCAGTGGTCAGTGGCACAGGAACTCCAAACTAAATTACAGTTTCTAATTAGCCATTCATAAAACAAGTTCATGGTAAAATTCGTAAAATCCACCCAAAGCCTCCCATCTCTGGCGAGGAATAAATCACATGAGTTGCCGAGCACGAGTAATTGCATAAAAGGCTACCAACACCCAGCTCATGGAACTTGGGATGGCGCCAAATGCCAAACGAGTAACCAGTAGGTGCATTTCGTAAGGAAATGTTGTCAGTTGTTCATGCTACAATAGTCTCAGTTTGTTGTGCTAGTATGAGCTAAGACAAACTTTCCTTCAATATTCTAGATTAGGAGTGAAAGGAGTGAAATTATCACTGGACGTCACGTGGGTCCCACAAAAATCTTTGAACTTTCGAAGCGGAATGTCTTAAGAAACTTCTCATCATTTCGATGAAAATGTCTCATTTGGTATGATGTCTTCAACATTGCAGTACAGAGACCACCAGTGACTAAGTCGTCACTCGTCTGTTCGCCGGCCTGGTTTCGCTCAGGTGGGCCCTCCGGTCGTCTGGAATGTCAAGGTCCCGCGCCGGCAGCGGTCGGCGGGCCACGGGTCGGCGAGATCGACCACTATTGAGCGCAAACACGCAACAAGTCGCCCGTAGACCGGTGGCGACCGGAGATCGACCTGCGACTGCAGCCCTCCGAGCGCGTCTGTACGGCGACAAACGGCACGCGTCGGACGTGCGGCACAACGGCGACCGACCGCACTGAGCAGACTGCTGATCTTAGTAGGTTCATAGAGACGGGTAGTACGAGGAGATTGCGCTAGTGGCCGACCGTTCGATCTCATTCACTTACGGGGAAATATTTGTATCTGTCAATACACAGCTGAGGAAAATCAGCTACAATGACTATGTTCATGCAGGAGTACCCTGTCGCTATATAGTATAGACTAAAGAGTATGGCCACTCATAGCGAATATGTGACACGGATCCTGCATTCAATCACAGCCTTCTCAAATGATGATATTTCAATTCAATCTAGTCACTGCGCGCTTGGATATCGGCGACACCCATCTGCTCCTGACCGCCGCCACAGGTTTCACACCAGGCATGTTGGTACACTTAATACATTCAAACTTCAGCAGTTTATCCGAAGTAGGTTCGTTAGTTCACTGCTGCCAGTTTCGAGGTAGCGCCGCCCACGCGTCCATCACAGGGCCTGGCCGGATGATTGCACCACTGAGCCCGGGTGAGCCGGCATTAGGCCGACCGCCGCCGGACGGTCGTCAACTAAGCACGTATCTGCTGGGATTGCAGCCGCGCTGGATAGAACCCGCAGTTGGAGCGGTGCTCATCACAAATTCACGCGGCGCCGACCTGCAGCCGGACTGGACTATCGGTGACCTTTCGTGCTTCCAGGATCAACCAGAGACCTGGACACACGGGACAGTTAAAGTCGACCTCTAGCCGTCCAGTGAGCACTGAGCAGTGAGCAGTGTATGACTACCACAGGTCAGATCGACCTCTCGCCCAGTGAAAGGAGAGGACTGACCCCTCGCCTGGTAAGTAGACTGAGCCGCTCCCCCGCGCGCAGCGGCTGACCCCTCCGACCCCCCGTCGGCCGGGGTCAGGGGCCGCTCGGACTGGGGTCGGTACGAGTCCGCTCTGGTACCGGGGTCCGCCGCCGTCCGCCGTCCGCCGTCCTCCGGTCCGGTGCGGACCAGCCGGCAGTGAGGGCACTGCAGGCCGGACGGTCTCCGCGGACCCCAGGCGGCAGCCGGCCCGCCGCTCTCTCACTTCCTAGTTCCTACCCTCTGCCGCCGCCGATAGCGAGAATACCATCACGGCGGCGCCAATTAGTTATCCGGCCTGCCGATACGGGCCGGAAGCGCAGCTGGTTATTAGGGCGCTCAGCACAGCCCGCCCTGACGGATGGACAGCGCCGGCACGTGCGCAGCTCCCGGCACGTGGGCCGCGTACCCGACCCATTGGCCCACTGGTGTCCGGACCTGGTGACCTCATTACTGACCCGCCCGCCCGTCCTCTCTCTCCTGCAGAGGGTGCCAGCGGCCACTGTTTGGCTCCGCGCGGCGCGGCGCCGTCGGCCGCCACTCTCCGCCGGCAGTGTTTTTACAGGTCTGTAATCCCGGGAGCGGTGCCAACCGGGCCTGTCTGACCCTCCCCGACGAACGGCGGGGAGGGCGCCCTTGGCTTAATTAGGCCTTGACCAAGAGCGCCGCGCCACGTGGCCGGGCCGACGAGCCCACGCGGTAGTCGTGACGTAACGTCGGTGCAAACAGAGCGTTATGGGGGTGCCCGGGGTAACACCACCGGCGGGGCGGGCCGCGGGGAGCGGGGCGACGGGTTATCGACTCACCGCCCGGTCCGGCGACTGGCACCGTCTAATGTGGGTCTGGCACCGTCTAATGTCGGCCTAATGCAGTCACCCGCTGACTGCATGGTGGGGTTGACCAAAGCTGGCTCATCGAATGTATGCCAACACAATGGTGATCCAATGACAGCCCAACACTGACCTAGCGGTGACCCCATTTCGATCCTGTTGTAATCCAGCGGTGACGCAATGATTCCACATGGTGACTCAAAGATGACCCAGCGGCGACCCGGTCTCTGCTCTGGCCCGCGTCCGACGAGGCTCGGCTCCGGCACCGCTCGGTGGGCCCGGCGCGGCGGCCGGCGGACGCGGTAAAAGCGGCCCAGAATAGCCGGCCGGCCATCCACGGGGCGACCGGATCGACCCAGCCGGCGGCGCGGCGGCCGTGGAGGCGGCGGAGGAGGCGCCGGCCGGCACATCCGCGGCCCGACCGGACAGAGCTGGGGCGCCGCGCGGAGCCGGAGCGGAGCCAGGGATAGTCCGGAGCTGGGACGGCACAGGGAGACGGCACCGTCCATCTCAGCAGGGCTGGAGGCGGAGCGGGCACCGGGTAACCCGGCAGGAGACGAGATAACGGCTCCCACAGCAGGCAGGAGCTCTACTTTCCAGCTAACCACCAGGCTCTGAAGTGTCTGTAAGCGACAGTACTCAAGTGGCTCCATTTCTTCCGCAATATAATTGAAATGAATAAGTGGTTGAAGAGTGAAGGGTTGTGCCTTTTTCCTCGAGCCTACATCTCGGGAGGGGAGGTGGCAGTAATGTGAGCCCGTGTGAACCCGGTCGGCGCAGGTGGCGGTTACGGCCGCTCCACCGGCTCCGACCGACCATCCAGCTGGCTCAGTGAGCGGCACCGGTCAGCTGACACGCAACAGCCGGGCGGGGGCAGGTCACGGGTGTTAGGCGGGTGGGACTGGGGGCAGGTCACGGGTGTCGGGCGAGTGGGACTGGGGGCGGTCACGGGTGTCCGTCGGGCGGGGGCGGGGCGGGGGAGGGTAGCGGGTGTCCGCCGGGCGGAGGCGGAGGCGGGGGCGGTCACGGGTGTCCACCGGGCGGGGGCGGAGGCGGGGGCGAGTCACGGGTGTCGGACGAGCGGTATCTGCCGGCACCCGCGGCCATCACATCGGCACCGACACGCGAGACAATCGCGGGCGCTCTGCGGGGGCACTACGCGCTGCTGCGCTGCAGAGTCGGCAGAGAACACCAGCGTCCAGCAGGGACAGACAGTGGGGAACAAACAGCAAAGGCCGCCATAGACGAAAACAGCACGGTGCCCACAGAACACGCATCACTGCGTACTCACGCTGTAGAGGTAGAGATTCTTGTCGTAGCCGGAGAGACCCTCATGGTCGTCCACGGCGAATGGCTGGTTATCTGGCAAATCGACGCTGCCTGGAACACAGAGGCAGCACGCCGTCAGCACAGGCCCGGGTCTTGGGGTCAGGTGTAGGGACAGCACTCGGCACCAGCTGGTCCCCGCCTGGTGATACCGCTCTGCAGACAGTCCGAGTGATAAACTCCCTCCCGCCTCCCCTACACAGCACTGACGCGGCAGTGCTATCTGTACCCCGGAACCGAGTCCTGCTCTCGGTACCGCGCCCGTACCGTCCGCCCTGACCGGGGCACGGCCGCGTTCGGCGGCCGCCCTGACGGAGGTAATCGGATAACACCGAGCAGCAGCACCCGCAGCGGCCATCTGTTCCAACAACCATCCCTCCCCAGTCCCCAGCTCTCTCACAACACGGAAAACGGAGCACCTCTTTCACCTGGCCGCTAATGGGATTGCGCTTAAAGATGCCGGAAAGTGAGGAAAATAGCAGAACGCCGAGAAAAACAACAGAGGATGATGCCCCGCTGAGCTTATAAGATCAAAGTAAGTCGACACAAGGCGAGGAAGAAGTTAAATGACATAGAGATGAAAAATGAGAGGCAATAAATGATAAATCTGAACATCGACCAAAGGCAATGCACGCATAAGAAGCGTTTAAAATTTAGTATCGAGCAGGTCGGGGGAAGCACTCAGTACGTGTTGGAACTGAAGGGCGACTGAAGCCCGGGCCGGCAGCGGACCATTTCTGAGCCGAGTACCGCAGGCCGCCAGCAGAGACAGATGTGCCTCTGGGCCGGCTATAGCGCCGCTGACTCGACCCGCCACCGGACACGGCCAGTTATAGCCGCAGATAACTCAGCCACCGAGCCGCGTCAGCTACAACCCAGCCCATTCAGACAATGAGCCCGTACAGCGACAGCCACAAATGAGGCGGACACTGAACCCAGCCCGGTAATACCCATCTGATTCACACCCAACCGATTCAGTTACAGCTCAGATAATTCAAACAAACAACAAAGCCAATTGCAAACCAGCCAATCCGTATTCAGGCCAGGTAAGTCCCTTTATTCAGAATACGATCCGAACCAGTAACAACGATATTAATTCTGGCAGTGAACTGAATTGGGTGCAGTCCCGCGAGTGATTAGTCTCTGCCACCGGTGCAGAGCTGACGGTCGGTAGAGACATGGCCTGGGGCCCACACCGAGTACATCCGGCTAATTGTCGACTCCTGAACCACCTGGTTACCAGCGACCGGCGGGCGTTCTAATCCTCGTTAACACCTGACAAATATCATATAGGCAGATTTTCAGCCAGCAAGGTGACCAAGGTCCATCCTAGCTCAGTTTATCTACAATGATTCCAATTTTCCCACATTTTTTTCTGTTTAGAGTAAGACTTTAATCTAGAAGCCGCAAATGATAAAGTAGTTCAGAGACTCGGTGTAATCACAAGTTTTGTGAGAAGGCAGCACATTTTAAACAGCCATCGAACGAGGAAGGCTGGCTCGTTCATTGGGAGCTAAAAATGCGACGACCACCATCAATTCTAGCACGTTGTGTCTCGTGATCCAACTGAGCTGTCGTGGTCGCCACCTGACACGGAGCCAGCGATCCGCCCGGCAGCCGTCCCCCTACAATCAGTCGGCACTGGTCAGTCACCGGACCCATGTCCCCGGGGCGGCTGACACCCGCGGAGACCGGCGGCCCGACCTCGGCTAAAGGCTCCACCCGAGGCTCCGATTCCGACCCGATCCCGGCACCGTCCGACACAACCTCGGCTCCTACCGACCCGATCCCGGCTCCGACCTGATCTCGACTCCGACTCCGACCGACCCGATCCCGGCTCCGACTCCGACCTGACCTCGGCTCCGGCTCCTAGTTCCTACCGCCCCGACCTCAGCTCCTACCGTGCCGAGTCGCTGACAAAGCGGGCGCTGACACGGCCGTCTCGGCTCGCACCAGAGCGTTCGGCATTGATCGGGCGCTCGACAGAAGAGACTAGAGGTGGCAAAATGTGGACCCGAGGACCCGGTCCAAAGAACCAGTCTGGACCCATATGGGTCCAGACCGGTTCCTGAAAATTTTCTGACGGGTCCAACCGGGTCCTACCATAAACTGTACATCTTGCACACTACACATTATTGCAAAATATGAAGTGAATGAAGTGAATGTTTCTTGGCACACAGTAGCTCATGAGTATTCCCAGTGGGAAATAGGCTGCTTTACATGATGCAGCTAATGATACCTACAAGTAGTTTGTATTAATTGACTTTTGGGGAACCGGGTCCAACTGGTTCCGATTCCAACTAAAGCCGGGTCCGACTGGTTCCCGAAATGTCCAGCCGGGTCTGGTTCGAGTCTGGTTCCCAAAATTTTCATCTTTTGCCACCTCTAGAAGAGACACCAGCTCTACTAGAGAGGCAGAGAGGGACAGAGGGAGAGAGACGGCCGCGGTGACCGCCCTGATTTCAGCTGCAGAGCAGCGAGAGGGACAGAGGAGCAGCCACGATGACCCGTCCTGATTTCAGCTCTAGAGGAGATGAGGGGCACGGGGGAGAGACGCGCCTCGGCCACCTTCCGAATTTCACGTCAATACGAAGGAGAGAGGGATAGAGGAAATCATGAACTGATAATGCACACACACGATATTACGCTGGTAGCACATCAAAGGCTCTCGAATATTAATCCAATGATCGTTATTGCACTTATGAAAAATCAGCTGAGATGTCCTTTCGAACCCCTTGGCAGAGCTTTGTGCATGTCTCCGTGAAACAAGTGACAAAATGAAAGCTAAAGTTACCGAAAACCTACGCTCAGACGCCGTCACCACTACAGTTACTTGATAATATCACAATACCCACAGAGATCCATCCGGCTCATCATAGAGCGGAATAGGTTATTATTGAACGTCCAATCGGATATCGCCGCTGTCGAGACCGGCTTATGTATGAGATGCGGTACTGCCGCTGTGTATGTGCCAGTGCTCAGTCAAGCCGGAGAACCACACATTGACATCATCGCCCCACAGCTGTTTAATGCTCCCTCCCGACCACCATTTGGGATTCATCCCTGCCTGAGCGGCGCATACGTCAGTCGGACGGTACTACAGCGGAGGAGGGCTCTCCAGGAACGCCGGTGCGTGTCGGTGCATCGGAACTGCGAAACAGCGCTCTCTGTGTCTCCCGGAGAGCGCTTCCATTCTGCCAGTGATGCCGCCGGAAACACAGATATACGCATTGAGGGCCATCAGCAGCGAGAGAGAGAGAGAGAGAGAGAGAGAGAGAGAGAGAGAGAGAGAGAGAGAGAGAGAGAGAGAGAGAGAGAGAGAGAGAGAGAGAGAGAGAGAGAGAAAGAGAGAGAGAGAGAGAGAGACAGAGAGAGAGAGAGAGAGCGAGAGGCGAGAGAGAGAGAGAGAGAGAGAGAGAGAGGGAAAGAGAAAGAGAGAAAGAGAGTGAGTGAGTGAGTGAATGAGTGAGTGAGTGAGTGAGAGAGACTGAGAGAGTGAGAGAGAGAGAGAGTGAGTGAGTGAGTAAGAGAGTGTGAGAGAGAGAGAGAGAGAGAGAGAGAGAGAGAGAGAGTGAGTAAGAGAGTGTGTGAGAGAGAGAGAGAGAGAGAGAGAGAGAGAGAGAGAGAGAGAGAGAGAGAGAGAGAGAGAGAGAGAGAGAGAGAGAGAGAGAGAGAGAGAGGGAGAGAGAGGAGGAAGTCAGCGGTCAGCAACAGGGCCAGGTCGGCAGATTCGGTCCCCAGCGGCCAACGCTTGCGTCTGACAAAAATTCATAGGACGAGCAGGGATTTCAGAAGTGCCACTGCCGAGCAGCCGCACACTATGTAAAGAGAAACGCTGGCCGTCACTGGGTACCAGCTGGCGCTGACGCTGGACGCCGGCAGGAGGCCGCGGTGTGCCGGTGGAGCGGCCGCCGCGGGGTGTCCAGTCGCTGCCCGCTGGCCGGCCGCCAGCCGCCTCTGCTCGGGGGCTCAGGGGGCGGGCCGGGCTGACACTGTGCGCCGCTGACCCCATTCAACACCGCCGACCCCCTGTCGCTGCCTCCGAGCGGCCTCACATACACACAGCTGACACAGCGCCGGCCAGCTCAGCGGCCAGCGGAGACGGAAGGAGCGAGACCGTCCAGACCGCACCAGACCAGACCAGACTGCATAGATTAGGCCAGACCAGACCGCCTATCCCACACCAGACCGTCCAGACCAGATCGGCCTCAGCCACCAGCCCAAAAACGAGCACGCACTCGGCAAGTTTCGGAGAAACTAATCGAGATGCTTCGACTTCACCAAAAGGTGACGGGGTCGTGAAGTATGTCGGCACACATCACTCTCGTGGACTGGGCCGCGACACTTCAAGTTTGTGAGTCTCTGTAATGGCGCCGTAATATGTTCCTTCCGGTCTGACCAGCATGCGGCGGCGGAATTCCACAGAGATTCAGAAATAGCCCGCGGCCACAGAGAAATTCAGGTCGGGTGCAGCCTCCAGCACAAATGTCCTAACGGGTACAACAGACGACGCGCCAGTCAAAACAAACCGAGCTCAGTTCATACACATGGAGACCTTACACCGCCAACCCGACCCAGTTCAGACACCAGGCAGTGATCACGGGAGCAGCATCGGTCACCGGACGAGGAATAGATGGAGCTGGTTCACTCCAAGGCCTGCATATCGGCATCGCCAAGAATTTCCTTCAAGCGATGGTGTCTTGAAGCGCAATAATGCATCGAAGACTCTCACGCTGCCAGAAGTGCCGCCATTCAGTGCCGCGCTGCTGAGCACAGGACGGCACCACCCCTCGGCCCGGCCCCCTGTGCTGCTCTGGTTGTCGCACTGAATTGTCCAGTGACCCGCCGTAACAGACCCACCAGCGGCAGATCCACAGGGACGCGACGCGGCCGATCCGCCGGCAGCTCAGCGCGGCTCCAAGCGGCCGTTTGCCGGCCGGCTCAGCGGTAACCGCGGCCATCGCGGCCGCCAATCGGCCCCGGCAGATCCCCCGCACGCCGACAGGTCTCCGGTGTCGCCGCTCCGCCAGTTACACGAGCTGACGAGGACACTG